CATGACGATCATGCGCAGCTTGTCCCCAAGGTCTTGCATCTCGTGGATCTGGACAAACGTGCCCGTGTGGTAGACCTCATCCAGGCTCTCAACCACGTCAGACTCGTTGCTGAGGGACAGGGACACAAAGGCACATCATCACAGGCCCTGATTCTCAGTGGGATGTCTCAGGTGAAGAAGGAGGAGGAAGAGAAGAGAAACGACCCTGCCAACCTCCAATGAAAACCGAGGGCAACCTCCTTGCTCCCACAGGTGAGAAGCTCCTGGCTAAGTCAGCTATAAGGACCTGATTGGACAGAATGGATTTCATCCGCGCCTCCCACTACAGAGCCTGCTCAGAATGTACCTTCCTGCTCAGACTGATTCCTCCCTGTAGTCAAGGTGGGTGTACCTGAAGCTGTACTATCTGCCTACCAAGCTCTGCTCTGAAGTGGTCTCACAGGTGGGTTTAACATTGGAGGTTAATATCTGCCCCGCCTCCCGCCCCTGCCACAACCTAAAAACACACGAAACTGAGCCAAGTCTTCAGCCCAGACTAAAAAAGCATGCTCGGCTCTTGGCCTTGTGCTCAGCAGGTTTTGCTTGATTTCGGGTCGAAGGTCCAGGCTACTCTACGGGGCAGGACTTGTGGTGAGCTACACTCCAGGGCAACTTCAACGAAGGAGTGAAGGTAAAGTTACACTTACTTGTCATCTCTCTTCAGAAAGACGCCAGCATAGGGCTGGGCAAGACGGACTTTCCTTCTTAGCAGCTCAACCAACTTCTTATTTTTAACCTAGCATGACAAGGACCCCAAAGTGAAACACAAGGCAGGTTTTCTAGCTGACGTTTTGACAAGAGCTCTAACATTTTCTATTACAATGCTGGAGGATATGCTAACCTGATCCAGGACACTAATCAACACAGCCCAGGAAGCAAGCCCTCACTGGCCCCCCCCAACAGATGTAGAGAATGTAGTGGGGCAAGTTGACAGGGCTGCATTCCTTGGTGGTTCCCCCTTCCGAAAGAAAACTCAAAGTAGTAGACCAAAGGTCAGAACCAAGAAATCTTTCGTAACATCCAATTTCAAGAGCTGTTTCAGAGGTGAAATGTCCTATTTGAAAATCTAGGCTATTCTAATTTATCAATGTCAGAAGGACAACACAAATGTGCATAATTCAACAGTGGCCCATCTCACAGGCTGGAAACTTGCTCCAACTTGTGTTGAAAGTATTTCCCGATCACATCTATACCCTTTCCATCAAGGACTGAAAGCCCTGGGACGACAACTATTATCCTGATGTCATTTCAATGGCAGGGAGACAGCTAACATCTTCTAGGGAACCTGTGATGGGGGCAGGAGCACAGATGTACATAAGGCTCCACTGGTTTCCTTCCAGCAGGCATTCATTCCCACCCCAGGCCCTGATTACACTTCAGGGCCCTCAAACTTCAGCAAGCATTGGAATTAACCTGGAGGACTTGCTAACGTAGATGGCTGGGTTCCAGCCCTGGAATTTCCTGACAGAGGCGGTCTGGAGTGGGCCTGAGAATCTGCATTTCAAACGAGCTCCCAAGTGATGCTCCCAGGGTTCGGCACCACTTCTGAGAACCAGTGTTCTAACTCTTCCCTTAAGAGGGGCTCTTAACTTATGGTCCAGGTATTTCTGACCCCACAGACGTATCTTTCCCAGAGAAAAGGTCCAACACAGCCACCAGGAGTGCTATAAGACCACCAAAAATTAAGATCTATACTGAGGCCACTCAAGAGGAGAAACTACTGGGGCAGGTTAGCTGCAAGCAATGTCCGCCACAGGATCCAGTCAAGAGAGCTTTGCTAACAGGTTCAGAAACCTTTACCCGGTGTCATGGAAGTTTCCCTAATTCCTCTCTGAGAACAGCTGACTGCTGTTCCCGCCAAGTGCTGCCATCCCTGCACTTGTCCCCTCTCTTTGGCAGGATTCCTTGTCATCATTTACATGGTAACAACAGAAACAAAGTGCGTACCGTGTGCCAGTCTCACGCTTTCCACAGTGATTCATTTCACTCTCCCAACTCTGGGTAGGCAGACAGAATTTGCTGGAGCAATAATCTCTCTGGGCACGGGGGACAAGAGGCACCTGCCACTTTGCAGGGCTGAGGGGACTGTGCCTGAGCACTCCTGACCCCAGAGGCTGGCTGGGGTCAAAGACAGGAAAAAGGCTCCAGAGCAAGCTTCTGAAACATCAAGAGCCACCACATAGGAAACAGCAGCAGCTTCCGAATGAGGTAGGAGGCTATATCCCTGACACAGGGGAACTCACCTCTCTGACCAGCTCTAAGAACTGAAGTATGATTATGATGCCCATTTTGCTGACGAGAAAATGGAGGCCCAGAGAAATAGCTTTCTGAAGGTGAAGAAGCTGTGTATGGGTGGTGGAGCCAAGATAGGAACCTACAGGCTCTCGGGCCTCTAAGTAACCACTACTCCAAACCAAGGAAGGCCCTTGGAAGAGTAGCCCAGACACATACAATCAGCAGGGGGGCAAGGAGACGGAAGGGAATCCTTCAGGCCTCAGATTTGTTTAGCAGAGACTAGAGTATGAGTGAGAGGCTGCAGTGAATGCAGAGGCTGACTCACCATATGACCTTGCTCAGTTAACAGATAACCTTTCACCATGGCCTCTCATTTCCACATCATTAAAAAGAAAAAAAAAAAAAAGACATGCAGGGAAGAAAGCAAGCATTTGGGTCTTTCCTACTCTAAAAACTCAAGTTTGGGCAGCCTGGGTGGCTCAGCGGTTGAGCATCTGCCTTCAGCTCAGGGCCTGACCCTGGAGACCCGGGATCGAGTCCCACATCGGGCTCCCTGCGTGAAGCCTGCTTCTCCCTCTACCTGTGTCTCTGCCGCTCTCTCTCATTAATAAATAAAGTCTCAAAAAGAAAAAAGCAACACCTCAAGTTCCTTGCACTCATGTTGCTCATGTTGCTTTCTATTACATCACCCGGGTCCATCTCCCCACCCCTTGGCTCTTAGTCTGAAACGATCTTGCTTCCTGTCTCTTCCACCAACATACAAGTTTCTTAGGCACAGGGAGTGCATGTGACTTATTTGCTGTGAAATCAATCCCCAGTGCCTGCTACATATGTGGCAGGAGGTCAAGAACACTCTGAATGAAGAGACCACGGTTGCAGCCCTCTGAGAACATCCTTTCCCCCCTAAGTCTGCTGTACTCTAGTTTCTGACTCTATTATCCCTATAGTAGTCACGGCCTTCCAACGCATAACTGACTTACTAATCTTGCTCACGGCTTCTCGTAACCTGCTAGGATGTAAGCTCCAAAGGCAGAAATTTTTATCAGTCTTGTTCGCTATTGCTGTGTCCCTAAGAACTGTACCTGGCACCTGGTAAGCAGTCAAGAAATGTTTAGGGAAGGAATGCATCCTGATTCCAAACGGGCTCGCCATCAGACTGCAGACCGCCCCGGGTGACAGTGTTATGAAACATCTACCAAAACCCACATAAAAAGTAACTGGGGGCAGCCCCGGTGGCTCAGTGGTTTAGAGCCTGCCTTCGGCCCAGGGCGCGATCCTGGAGACCCGGGATCGAGTCCCACGTCGGACTCCCAGTGCATGGAGCCTGCTTCTCCCTCTGCCTGTGTCTCTGCCTCTCTGTGTCTCCTATGAATGAATAAATAAAATCTTAAAAAAAAAAAAAAAAGTAACTGGGCCTCAAGACCGTTATGGTCCTTCCCAGCATCGGAGAGGTCTATGACCAGGACTCTAACTGGGCAGTCCGAAGCTCACTGGGTTCAACAGGGATCTGAAAGGGGGAGGGATCCGGCTCCAGTTCACCAAATTAGTGAGAAGACAGGAACTCGAAATCCAACTTTTAAGAAGCTTCATGCCTGGAAAACGTCGTGACACGAGAGCGCTCAAGGATCCCTCGGTCCAACCCGCTGCCTGCAGAGCCGGGGAAATTGGCGGCCACGGCGGGGGCGCGCATTACCTCGATGATCTTGATGAAGCGCGGAAACACCGGGTTGCGGGTGACGGCGATGAGCGGCAGGTGCGGGAATACGTCCGGAATAGTCATAGGCGTCAGCGCCGTTATGATGGGGCCCTCCCCGCCCCCCGCGCTGCCCCCCGCGCCCGCGGACCCATCCTCCGCGCCGCCCTCGGAGGCATCCTCGCCGCTGGAGAACGCACCACTGCCGCCGCGGCTGTTCGCCTCCCAAAGTCCCCGCCACTGGCCCGCGGCAACCGGGCCTCGGCCCCACAGCGCCCAGGGAGGGGAGGCGTCGCAGGCCCGCCGGCCGCGGGGCAACCACGTTTCGGCGGCAGTCGGAACCCGCCCCCAGGCAGCGGCCAGCAGCGGGCGCCGCAGCGCCCAACATCGCGCAGCTCCCCACAGCCGCACGTAGCCTGTACCCGCCGCCATGGCCCGGCCATCCTGGCGACGCACAGGACTTGCGTCACTTCCCCTCGCCGGGCTGGTGCGCACGTGAGGCCCCGCGCGTACCCAGGGGCCCGCGGGGGGCGTGACCCGGAACGGAACGCGGCGGGGGTGGGGCTTACAGGAGCGTGGGGGCGGGGTTGCGCTTCCGGCGCGCCGGAAGCGCCTCTGGCTCACGTGGAGGAAAGCGAGCCGCGGGCGCTGCGAGCGCAGTTGCGAGGACGCATAAGCAGCCCGGTGCTTACACTTGGGCTTAGGCGCGCGGGCGACGTGCGCTCACGCTCTGGGGCGCGTCCCGGTTGGTTGAGCAGCGTTTCCCGGGAGACGCTGTGCACATGCCCAACCTAGCCCGTCCACGGGTGGCCGTGTGCGCCAGTCGGAGGCCCGCTGGAGGGTTCGTGAGACGATGAACGCAACGCATGCTCCGACTGGAGAGAGCGCGAGCGTCACCGCGCGCACAGCCAGGCGCTCGAGGAGGGGGTCCCCAGGAGACGAGGTGCGCACGCGCAGACGCCAGGCCTCCCGCGGCCGGGCCACGTGCTCAGGTTCCAGTCTGCGCATGCTCAGACGGTGAGGCGGCGCCCTGCGGCGGTTGAAGCGCTTGGGTGGCGTTGGTTCTTCGGACAAGATGCTGGTGTTGATGCTGGTGGCGGTGCTGGTGGCGGCGGCGACCCTGCAGCCCTGCTTGCTGGCCAGCGCTCGGCAGCTGTGCCGGTGGGGCTGCCCTCCCCGGGGAGGGGTGCTGCCCGGGGTCGGGGAGCGGCGCCGGCTCGACCGTGAGCAGAGCCTCCGCAACCTCGTTAAGGCTTCTCAGCTTCTTGTTGGAGAAGTTGCACTCGGTGTTTCCCGTTCTTTCACCCCAACTGCTCCAGCCCATCACCAGATCCCCCATTGCCGTTCAGAGCTTGGCCCCGATTCCCGCCCTCGGAGCCTCGTGCGCCGCCGCCACCCTAGCCGAGGGCTCTTCTCCGACCCACTCCTGCAGCCGGAGGGATCATGTGTAAACAAATCCGATGGGACACGCCCCGGCCCTGTTTGTGTGTGGCGCCAGGGATAAAACCCAAGCTCCTGGCGCAGCCTGCATTACCCCACACGGTCTGGCACACAGGACACTCTGGGGTGGGGCCTTCCTGTGCCCTGTGAGAGGTTGAGCAGCATCCCTGGCCTCCACTCGCTATAGATGCCAGTAGTCCTTCCTCCCCCAGGCTTGAAAATCCATCAGAAATGTCTCTAGTTAGGCACTGCCAACTGCCCCCTGGAAATTTGAGAGGCACGGATCTGGCACCTGCCCACCCCTGAGTCAATGCTCCAGTCACCCCATCCCTTGAACAAGCCCAACTCCGGCCAGCCTTGGGGACAGGGGAGACGGCGCTTGCTACACTCTCTGCCTGGCACACTTTGCTTCCAGATTTCTCCATGCCTGGTTCCCGATCCTGGTTTAAGTCATTCTGATCCTGACTTAAATAGCACATCTCTTTATTTAAAGCGCCCCAATCCCCATAATGGCTTTTTCCTGTCACTGACTTCTGTTACTGTTTTGACCCTCCCCCCCCCTTTTTTTTTTGTCTAGGGCTGTCAGTAGATTAGCTACACGAGGATGTGGAGTATTTATCTCACTGTGTACAGAACTTTTTTAAATCTCAGTAAATATTAGTGAATACTGTATAATAGGTGCCAAGGGGGGTAAACAGATAAATGCTAACAGGGTTTATCCCTCAGGGAACTGCTGCCTGGAGTAAGCTGTCATTCTCAGCAGGGTCCCCGTTTGCCTATGAAATAGTAAATGTGCACTTGAGGTGCATGGCCTAATTTGATCTTTACAACAGTTCAGTGATTCCTTAACCGTATCTTATAGATGTGAAAACAGACCCAGTGGAATTACTCACTGGCCTAAAGACCTAGCTAGTAAGCAAAAAGTTTTCTGGTAAGATTTACCAATGAGATTTGTCTCAAAGTTTGGAAAGATTGGTGATATCCAATTATCCCATATCCTCACATGGGTTCTCCAAGCATGGTGCTAGACCACCACCAGCAGCAGCAGCACCTGGGAATTTGCTAGACTTGCAATCCTCAGATCTACTGTATCAGAGACTTGGAGGTGGGGCCCAGCGATCAACAGTTTATCAAGCCTCCAGGTGCTTCTGACACATGTCAAGATGGAGAATCTCTGCTCTAAACTATAAACTGTACCAACACTCTCTAGCCACCAATACCATCCATCTCCCTGTGCCTGGCCACAACTAAAGAGAGAGAGAGAAAGACAAATCCTTGGAGTAAGAGTTCCTAATCTGGGTCTGCAAATGAGCCTTTATGAGCTCTCAGGAATTAAATCTCCATTTTTGCATATTTGTGTGTGTGTGTGTGTGTGTGTGTGTGTGTGGGAGAAGGAGAGGGACAGGAAGGCCCACAGTGTCATCAGATTTTCCCGGGGCTCCCGTTAACCTAAAGCATCAAAACAGGTACTTGAGCATTAACCCAGGGGTACCCTGGTAGGAGTCATGTTGAATATTCAATAAAAAATGACAGATGGTCTCTCTCGTCACTTACCTCTAGTACTCACATGGTGAGGACAGGAAAGGTGTTTCATGTCAGACAGCAAATCCAAGGGGTACGTGGCTCCATACCTCCCTCTCGCTCTTCGCTTTCGGAACTAACACTTGCCAGTATTTCTCAGGTGTCAGTTTTGTGTCAGGCATAGAACATTATCTAATCCCTACCATTGCGCTTTGAAGCAGGCTTAATCTTTCCCACTTCACTAAAAAACTAATTGGAAGTGATCAAATAACATGAAGGAAGCCAGGAGATGGAAGTGGGTTTAGAACGCAGCTCCCTTTTTCCAGCATTCATTTGCTGCATTGTAGCTCTGGAATAACATGAAGCACATGAGTTCCTTTGCTCACATGACATCCTGCAAGAGGGAACTTTTTTTTTTTCTTCCCCACCCCATGTGTGTCTAAAATGCAGGGAGGAATATTTCACCTTTTAAAATGTATTTCCGTTGACATGGCATTATTTCAGAAGTGATATCTGCATTTCTAAATCCCCTCCAAGCGCCTAGTCCCTAACATGTTAGCTTTACAATTCCTCGTCCTCTGGCGTCTCTTTCAAATAACTAATGATTTGCAAATAAGCAGTAACCTGTACAAGGAATGAATGTGATATCAATAATTATCTTGCGAATCTTCATTTTTAAATTTTGATGTAATTATAGATACACAGCAAATTGCAAATATAGCACAGAGGTGTCTCAGGTACCCTTCACCCAGCTTCTCCCACCCCTTTGACCTCTGATGCCACCAGAGTGTACTAGGAAAACAGGAAAATCACATTACATTCCTCTTATCCACCTACCTCAATTTCATCTTTACATTTTCAGTATTATAGGTTAGGAGATTGTCTTTCTCAGCTGTTCGTTATTATGGAAATTAAGATTTGTCTATCTCTCTAGGACCAACTGTATTTTTCATCTATGACATCACACTTGATTAAGCATCCTTGCAAGAAAAACATAGCCCTGTATCTAGGGTAAGTGACCATTTTATGTACTGTTACCTTCCCTTTTATTAAAGCATTAGATTTGCCTTCATTCATTCAACAGACATTAAGGAAGGTGGCTCTGTCCTGGGTTGCTGCTTTTTGGCCTGTAGGGAGTTCATAGTCAGGGTGGGGGTCAAAGGAAGGGAAATGAAGAAACCTGCAAATAAAATCACGAGTTAATAGTATGGTACCACCTGTCACAGATCCTGGATATAATTAATCATCGTGGAAGGTGGGGGCATTCAAAGGACTGGGAATACCATGCCCAGGGTACACTTGGGATCATCACTGTGCAAGGGGTAGAACAACAGGTGTGCAAACCATACTGAAATGTTCACCCTTTAACCTAAGGGCAGTGGAGGGTTTGGGGCCACACAGTTTGTGTTCAGGAGGATTTCAAAAGCCCAGGCCAAAACAAAGCAAAGCAAAACAGCATGCTAAAGCCTAAACAAGAACACCAAAAAACCAACCCCCCCCCCCAAAAAAAAAGAAAAAGCCTAAACAGAAGGCAAGGCCATACAGAAGAGCAGGAGGGAGCTTAGCAAGACTCGTCAATTCTCCTGAGGTGTGGAGGATGGAGGTGAGCAAGCAGTTTACGATGGCTCTCAAGTTTCTGGTGGAAGGAACGTGGGAGGGAGGGGGGCAAGAGGTGGCAGCTTGGGATGGCTTGCTGCCTGCGAGACACAGGAGGCCAGAGACGGGAACACAAGGTCGTCATCTGTATGTCAGTGGTGGTTCTGGCTGTGGGCAGTCACACAGGAATCACATGTTCAGCAGCCAGAGGTTCTGGTGAATCTTGATTTTTATACAGCAGGTGGGAGAAGAGAAAGAGAAATTGGAAAGCAGGAGACCTAGAAGCTGAGGAGGAAAGCAGAAATTGGAAAGCAGGAGCCCTGGAGGAGGGATGTCACAGAAAAGGCAGGACACGTGGGTGGGGAAGCAGCCAAAAAAGCAATGGGGCAGATGGGAGAGAGAGCAGGGACACGGAGGTCCCAAGGCTTATGTCACTCTCTCCAGAAGCCAAGACATTCCAGTTCCTGCCAAAATGTGGATGAACCTGGAGGATATTATGCTCATTTGAAATAAGCCAGACCCACAAGGACACCTCCTATGTGACTCCACTCCCAGGAAGTCCCCAGAGGAGGCCCGTCCACAGAGACAGAGAGGAGATGGTGGGAGCCGGGGGTGGGGCAGGGGGCAAAGGGTGAGTACTTCCTGGAGACAGGGTCTCTGTGTAGGGAGATGGAAGGTTCTGGAGACAGTGGTGGGGGTGGGTGCACGGTGGGTGTTTCCTGTCACCAAATGGACACTTAGAAAATGATTATAATGATGTATTTTATGTATTTTTTCACAAATTGTGAAATACACACTTTATATTGTGTAGTTTTACTGCAACTTAAAAACATTTTTAATTAATTAAAATTAAATACAGTGAAAAATCCACACAAACTAACCATGTTTCAAGCACTCAGCCTTCTCGGACAGTTCAGAAACAGAGTGTTTCCATCATCACACCTGCTTTAGAGCAGGAGTCACAGATGATGCCCCCCCCCACCCGGGCCAAATTCAGCCCGCCACCTGATTTTGTATGGCTGCTGAGTTAAGAATAGTCTTTACACTTTACATTGAAAAAAAAAAAATCAAAAGTAGAACCATATTCTGCGGCATGTGAAATGATATGAAACTCAAATCCCGAGATCCCTGGGTGGCTCAGCAGTTTGGCACCTGCCTTCGGTCCAGGGTGTGATCCTGGGGTCCTGGGATTGAGTCCCATGTCGGGCTCCCTGCATGGAGCCTGCTTCTCCCTCTGCCTGTGTCTCTGCCTCTCTCTCGCTCTCTCTCCCCCTCTCTCTCTGTGGCTCTCATGAATAAATAAAATCTTTAAACAAACAAAAAAACTCAAATCCCAATGTCCATAGTAAAGTTTTATTCGTACGCAGCCACATCCACGGGGTTGCATATTGTCCATGGCAGCTTTTGTGCTACAATAGCAGAGTTGAGTGGTCAAGACAGAGGCCATGTGGCCCCTAAAATATTTCCTATCTATCCTTTTACAGAAAAAGTTTGCCAGACCCCCTGTTTAGAGCATAACATCCTTAAATGAGATACCCAGAACACATTGGAGTGAGACAAATTCTGATTCCAGCAGCTTCTGGAAATGACACATTCTGTAATGCCCAATAAAATGGTGAAAATGTCACTTTTCACCTACAGTGTTGGTGAGGATGAGGGCAAATGGGGATGAGGCTAAGTGTATCTGAGCAGTTTTGGAGAATCTGTCAAAATGTTGAACACGTTCTCAGACACAAAAATCCCATTTCTTGGCAGTTAACCTAAATTTGTAACTTGTTTATGTTGCTCATGTGTATGCTTCCTGAGACCTTTGTCCCACCTGGAACCTCTCCCTAGAATGTCCTTTCTTCTTGCAGTCAGGGGGAAGAGCATCCCAGGTGGCAGGGGCAACGTGTGCAAAGGCCCCCAAGGCAGGACCTGGCTTGAATTGTTGGGAGGAACAGCTCAAGTGCAGTGATTGGGGGAGGAGCAAAAGGAGATGTCAACAGTATCAGATCACATGGGACTTTGTACGGTGTGGTGACAAATTTGGATTTCAGGGGGAAGCCACCAGAGGGTATGGAGGGGAGTGGCGCAATCTGATGTCTCTTCTAGAGGGCCACTAATTGTTGGCCACTAAAAGCAGAGAGGGGAGATGGCAGAAGGACGCAACTGAGGGGCTGAGGCTGTGGTGCAGTGAGAAACCAGGGAGGCAGCATTGGAGGGAGACAGTGGTAGGAAAGTAGTACATGAAATCTAGTGGTTCAGAGGAGGAAGGGTCTGGAAGGGAATCAAGGAAGGCTGCATGGAGGAAAGGGCATCAGTTACGCAATGAATTGAGTTGTGGAACCTTGGCTGGGGAGAAACAGTGGGGCATCAGCCCAGAGACGGACACAGAGCTCTACTTGGCTAAGAGTTGGCCTTCTGTCTTTCAGCGTAAGGACTGAGTGCCTCCCAGGATGAATACGAGTTGGCTTTGAGGGGGCATAGGCCACATCAGGTGGCGTGAAAGAGGGACGCAATATGTGTAAGGCTGGAGTGTAAAACTGAAATCTAAGCTAGTGAGAGGGGAGGATTCTGGGCCTGCCCCCCCCCCCCCCAGGAGAGGTTGCACAACAGCGGGAAGCATTGGTGGTTGTCACAACTGGGGGTGCTACTGGCATCTGGTGGGCAGAGGCCAGGGATGCTGCTCAGCCTCCTACAGTGCAAAGAACTGCCCCCTGTGAGAGAGAGTCACGTGGCCCCAATGTCAGCCGCGCCAAGGCCAGGGAGCCCTGGGGTAGGGACACAGGTAGAGCTCAGATCATGGACCACCCTGTAGACCAGTTAAGATGTCTTGCCTGCGATCCTACAGGATATAGGTAGCCCCTCAAGATTTCTGAGTGAGAGCATTTCTGATTTCTGATTGATGCCAGCAGCCACTGCCTTTGGAATTGACAGTTATTTTTTGCTATAATATCATATGTCTAATTTAAACATGTTTCCCGTTTTCTTTCCCTTGTTTATAGACCTCCTATTTTGCTGCCAGCATGCCATCTTCTGCAAGACTGGCATGAGAGTCCCCTACTTTCTAATTCACTGTTTCAAACATTTTTAAATTAATTAATTAATTTTATTAATTAATTTATTTATATGACAGAGAGAGAAGCACAGAGCCTGACACAGGGGTCAATCTTACAACTCTGACATCCTGACCGGAGTCAAAACCAAGAGTCAGATATTTAACCAGCTGAGCCACCCAGGTGCCCCTCTAATTTACTGTTTTAAAGTTGTGTCTAAATCCAGACCATATAAACCTTGGAGGAAAGCATGTTAGTGAGGCATTTGACCTTTAGCCTGTGAACAACATAGTGTTGGTTTTGCATGTTCTAAAGTTTGTTGTTACTTACTTCTGGATTCTCTTTTTTTTTTTTTTTTTTTACTTCTGGATTCTTAATTAGGTTTCTAATAGCTCCAGTTCCTGGAAAACTGAGCCACACTATATATTGATTTCAACCCCAAACTTGTTTCTTTGTATTTTTTTTCCTAGTGAACTAAAGAAGGTCTTGTAGGGCAGAAGCAATGCTTGGTCATCTTTATGTCGCCAGAGCCTGGTATCCAATAAACATGTGCAGATGCATGAATCAATTAGTGGTTTTGGTTCTTTTTTTAAAGATCAAAATAGGTGAAAACCTTGTAGTAGTTCAGAAAACTCTTGTTCAGAATACTCACCTCAGGGATCCCTGGGTGGCGCAGCAGTTTGGCACCTGCCTTTGGCTCAGGGTGTGATCCTGGAGACCCGGGATTGAATCCCACGTCGGGCTCCCGGTGCATGGAGCCTGCTTCTCCCTCTGCCTGTGTCTCTGCCTCTCTCTCTGTGTGTGTGACTATCATAAATAAATAAATTTAAAAAAAAAATTAAAAAAAAAAAAAAGAATACTCACCTCAGGGGTGCCTAGGTGGTTCAGTTGGTTAAACACCTGACTCTAGATTTTGGCTCAGGTCATATCTCAGGATCATAAGATGGAGCCCTGCATTGGGCTCCATGCTGGGCGTGGAGCTTGTTTGAGATTCTCTGTCTTCCTCTCCCTCTGCCCCTCCATCCCACCAACCCCTATATCCCTAGCTTGTGCACACACATGCTCTCTTTCCGATGAGACTCAAAATAAATACCATTTTCATTCAACTTGTATCAAAGGTCCCAGCCAGTGCAATATGACAGGAGAAAAACTTGAAATGTAAAACACATTGGAAAGGAAGAGACAACATTAGCCAAATCCAAGAGTATCAGCTACCAGAAGGAACAACTGAGTGTAGCAAGATGGCCAAATACAACACGGACAGTGAAAACATCAACGCCTCTCTTATAAACTAGCCATGGATGCTCAGAAAAGGCAGTTAGGAAAAAACATCATTCCAAATAGCAACCAAAGCTTTAAGACACATAAGAATTAACTCAGCAATTCCTTTCTGTCTAAAACCATAAAACTCTGCTGGAGGGAGCAGGAGAAAGAGATCTGGAGAAGGAAGCAATATACCATGTTCATGGATGGCTTTCACTTCTTAAACGTTTTCTGCCTGAGGGAACACATTGTTTCTTTCATGCATACACATTCCTGGTCTGAAACCTTTTACTTTAGTGGGATCAGAACCATATAAGTGACAAAAGTGGAGTGCATCCTATGTAAGGCAAGCTGTCACTTAATGTACATTTTATGTAATTTTATATTTGATATGGTCAGGTGACATGACTTTTTAAAAATGTTATTTCAAGAAGTCAAACACCCAGTCTATAGAGGTTTACTCATGCAAAGATGAAAGATGATAGATAGTTGAATACATAGAACCTAACCTAATCTCATTTTTTATTTTTTTATTTTTTAAAGATTTTATTTATTTATTCATGAGAGACAGAGAGAGACACAGGCAGAGGGAGAAGCAGGCTCCATGCAGGGAACCTGACATGGGACTCGATCCCAGGTCTCCAAGATCACACCCTGAGCTGCAGGCGGCGCTAAACCACTGTGCCACTGGGGCTGCCCTAAATCTCGTTTTTTTAAAAAGATTTTATTTACTTATTCATGAGAGACACAGAGAGAAAGAGGCAGAGACATAGGCAGAGGGAGAAGCAGGCTCCATGCAAGGAGCCTGATGTGGGACTCGATTCCAGATCCTGAGATCACACCCTAAGCTAAAGGCAGACGCTCAACTGCTGAGCCACCCAGGCGTTCCCCTAAATTTCATTTTTAAAAAGGTGGAGGGAGGGCACGTGAGTGGTTCATTCAGTTGGGCATCTGACTCTTGATTTCGGCTCAGGTTGTGATCTCAGGGTACTTAGATTGAACCCCATGTCTGGCTCCGTGCTCAGTGGGGAGCCAAATATGGAGCTCTCTCTCCCTCTGCCTCTCCCTCCTGCTCCTGTGTGCACCCCTCCTAAAATAAATGTTTTTTAAAAAGGAGTTTTGTTTGAGTAGACCATTTTAGCGTGCCTGATGTCATATTTTTTTCTTGTGTGAAATTGTTCTAATTTAACTCTTTTATTGTCTGTTTCAGAAGACGACTTTTTTTCACGAGAGATAATTTCAGAAGTAGTCTCCTTCCACTTTCCATCCCTACATCAATGAAGGTAGTTATTTTACTGGATCACCTGAAGGATTCTCAACATAAGTAACATTTGGTGGAAGATACAGTTTGGAAATCACACTAGTCCATTTTTGTTAGTTTGAGGGCTTATATTACAATGTAAAGTATATTACATTACAAAGTAAAGACATTGAGAGCAATTTCTAAGCCAGAAGGGTTGATTCTATTCTGCTCTTATTACTAAGATAGGTTCCCCCCTCCCCCCAAAGAAGAGTTGTTGGAAATGCTCCTTGTAATGGTTTGTGTGTTGTGAATGGATAGATTAGGTGCACTAATCTCAGGGCCTCCCTAAATTGTCCTAAACCAAAACAGAAAAACCTTTATTTACTCTCTCAGTAACATCTTGAAAAATTCTACCACTGGCCCCTACAACTAAAGAAGTCTTTGCCATCTATTCAAATGCCAAGGTTTCTCTTATAAGCAACACACTTATCAAGTATTTTCATCGTCCATGATTTACACTTTAGGCTTTATCCTCAGAAAAAGTTTTGATAAGGAAGAAGGAGAATTGATAAGGAAGGAGGAGGTATCCGAGGGCACCAAACACCAATTCCAGGCTCTCAGTTTCTGTTCCAGCTGACCCCAAATATTCAGTTCCCAACACCTAGGAACCAAACAGCTCTTGCTGGCACACAGGTTTCTTAAATCTGCATCTCAACGTCTTACTTCCCGAAATGTCTGAAAGGATGCGCTTGCTGATACTCTGTGTGTCATTATTTCTAGGCTGGCCTACCGGAAGTAACATCGGCACACATCGCTGGCTCAGTACTGCTGTTAGTAGTCAGTCGAAAAGTCTATATTTACAATTATGAAGCCAATTACTGGAACACATCTATAGGTACATGTGTTTTGTATTTTTAAAAATATTTTTTTGCAACCCGCCAACATCCAAGAACAGGTTATTCATTTTCGAAATGCAAACAATGCCACTACTTGGATGTCGTGCCCCAAGACACTGCCTCGTCCTTTAAAATTCAAAATGAATTCAATATTCAATATTCAAATGAGGGATCCCTGGGTGGCGCAGCGGTTTGGCGCCTGCCTTTGGCCCAGGGCGTGATCCTGGAGACCTGGGATCGAATCCCACATCGGGCTCCCAGTGCATGGAGCCTGCTTCTCCCTCTGCCCGTGTCTCTGCCTCTCTCTCTCATTCTGTGTGACTATCATAAATAAATAAAAATTAAAAAAATATATTCAAATGAATATTGGTTGTAGGGCTGAATGTAGGGCTCAAATGAATATAGGGTTGTAGGGAACCTAGTGTCAGGGATTGTAGTTACAAACCACAAAAGCCTGCTCTGATGTGACTGGAGTAAGTCAAGGACATTGATGGGAATTGCGTTGGAGTGGATGCCAGAGAGGATGGAGGAAGGCCGGGAATGACTCATACAAGCTTGGTGACAAGGCTGAGAGATAAGAATATTCGGTCTCACCTACTGCCCGTTAGGGACAGGGAATAGGAGAGAAGATAAGCCGCATGAAGAGAGTGAAAGAAGAGGACCGTCACTAGGAGGCAAGGGGATGAGGTCAAGAATGAAGACAAGGGAGGTGCCATTCTTTAGAAAAGAAGGATGTTTGGGTACCCATTGTGATGAGAAAGGGGTCAGTTTGGGGCACCTGAGGGGGGCTCAGACGGTTGGGCATCTGACTCTTGATTTCAGCCCTGGTTGTGATTTCAGGGTCATGAGATTGAGCCCCCCACCAGGTTCTGCTGTCAGTGGAGTCTGCCTGTTTCCCTCCCTCTGTTCCTGCCCCCTCCTTCTTAAATAAATAAAATCTTGAAAAATATTTTTTAAAACAAATTTTTTTAAATTTTTATTTATTTATGATAGTCACAGAGAGAGAGAGAGAGAGAAGCAGAGACACGGGCAGAGGGAGAAGCAGGCTCCATGCACTGGGAGCCCGATGTGGGATTCGATCCTGGGTCTCCAGGATCGCGCCCTGGGCCAAAGGCAGGCGCCAAACCGCTGCGCCACCCAGGGATCCCTTAAAAATTTTTTTAAACCAGAAAAGAAAAGAAAGGGGTCAGTTCAAGGTTTCTCAACCCCAGCCCTGACATTTAGGGCTAGGTCATTCTCTGGCGGGGGGGGCTCCCTGGTCACTGTAGGGATGCGGGGCAGCAGCCCTGGCCCCATCCACACTCCTGCCAGGAGCACCTCTCCCCCACTGCATCCTGACCCCACAAATGTGCCCAGATGTCACCCAGTGTTCACTGGGAGCCAAAATCTCCTCAGTCGAGAGCCACAAGGGAGGGTTAGTCGATCACCATCTGGCAATTCGTTCCTTATTCTTTTGCTTCACTTACGTTGGTTTTGGCGAAGGATTGTGGATCCTAGGAAGGGGAACCTTGCCCAGCCAGTGCCCTGCCTGCCAGGTGCTTGCTGAACCCTGGCAGGTGAGGGGCTGACAGTCCCCAGGAGGGACAGAGAGCACAGCAGAGGAACCACACCTTAGTTTGGACATGACCCTCAACAACCAGGTGACCGGATGATGCTGAGTGAATGGTGCCTGGGGTGGGGGGTGGGGGAACTGGGCACAGGTGCAGTGTCAGGTGAGCAGGTAGAGAATGTACCTAACCCAGGTGGCGTGGGCCCCCAGGGCTTCTGCTGGGGTCTGTAGTAACAAGCCACAGACACCTGCTCTGACCGATCTGGGGACCATGTCTTCAATTGTCACATCCACACCAAACGTGCAGCTGCCTCCAAACCTCGAGTCCATCCATTCTCAGCAGAACCGACCACCCTCAGCCAAACTGCCTCCTAGCCCTCCCAACTTCCTCCCTCTCTATCCCTCCCTCCAAAATTCACCCATGAGCTTGCTCTTGCTTTGTTGTCCAGTCCTCCATCCCCCTCCTGACCTCCACGTCAGTTCTTTTCTCTCTCACACTTTATGCCTCTTTTTCCTTTTTGGGGGGAGGGTATAACACTCACATAAAACTGACCATTTTAACCATTTTAAAGTGTACAATTCAGTGGCATTTAGTACATTCACAGTGTTGTGCAACTATCACCACTGTCTAGTTTCAGAACATTCCATCACCCCAAGAAGAAAGACTGTCCCCATCAACAGTCATATCCCACCCCCTCCCCAGCCCCTGACAACCATATACCCTCTTCCTGTCTTTCTGGATGAGCCTGTTCTGGACATCTCACACACGTGGAATCACACACTCTGTGACTTTTTTTGTGCTGGCTTCTCTTGCATCTCTTGCATCATGTTTTGGAGCTTCCTCCCCATTTTAGTGTGTGTCAGCAGCTCGTTCCTTTTTAAGGCCCCCTCCTTCTTAAATAAATAAAATCATAATTTAAAAAAACCTAAAAAATAAAACAAAGGAGTCAGTTCAAGGTTTCTCAACCCCACCACTGCTGACCTGTAGGGCCAGGTCGTTCTCTGTGGGGGGCCACCCACAGAGATGGGTGACTGATCAGAGATGATCAGTGATGTTGAGAGCATCTTTTCCTGTCTTGTTGGCCACGTGTATATTTTATTTGGAGCTGAAGCTTCTGCTTTTACAATAGAATTAAAAAAGAATGCCTCCCTAAGAGAAAGGAGCCCTTCCTGCCATTTTGGCAGAGTCCTAAGAGTTCCCACAAAACCATTGGATCTCAACTGTGACAGGAATGCCCTCCAGATGATACCTGGCAATATCTGGAGATATCTTTAGTTGTTAAGACTGGGGGAGGGTGCTTCTGGCATCCAGTTAGCAGAGACATAGTATAGTGCACACAGGACAGCCTCTCAACCAACAACAATCTGGACGCAAATGTCAGTAGTGTCAAGGTCGAGAAACCCTGCTTTATATTTTCCCCTGAAATTTAGGGAACTCATGGTTTGTTGACTGGTTGGTTGGTTTGTTTATAGTGGGTTGCATGCCCAATATAGGGCTTGCACTCATGACCCCAAGATGAAAAGTCACATGCTCCACTGACTGAGCCAGCCAGGCGTCCTGGAAACTCACGTTTTTTACAATGATCTTGTCCTTTTAGGTATAGAACACCCTGTTTCACATGTTTCTGGTGACAATTGTTGTTATAGTGGACATCCCTTTTGCGTCGTGAGTAGACCGTCAATTTTTTACTCTATTTTAAACATAGATAATGAATGAAAACATGGACAGAGTAATCCATGAAGGCTGGGACATCAGGTTCCTTGATGGACCTGGGCAGTGTCCCTTCCTCAGGGTTCAGAAGAGGACCTGAGATAATGGGATCACCTGGCTGACACATTAGGAATATATCCACCTACCTTCCTTTTTTAAACTTGTTATTATGAAATATTTATAGACCGTACAGGAAGTCCCACACCCTGTTCACCAATGGTTCTGTCTTATGTAACTATAATAAACTCAAACTGGGAAGCTGACCTGGAAATAATGGGTGGATCTAATTCTGTGTTATTTATCACATGTGTGAAGTCACAGAAGTACTACTGCCCTCAAAACACTAGACTGTTCAATGACCCCATAGCTCTCCTTACATCCCTGCCCTGCTGTCCCTAACCCCTGGCATACACTAATCTATTTTCCATCTCTATAATCTCATCATTTCAAGAATGTTCTATCTATACATGGGATCGTACAATATCGAACTCTGGGGATTAGCTTTTTTCACAAAATGCTCTGGAGACTCAACCCACCAATAGCGTGTAACTAATCCATTCCCTCTTCTTATCAAATAATATTCCATGGAGTGGGTTTGGTTGTTCTCACTTTTTGGTTATTACTAATAAAGCTGCTATGAACATTCATTTTTGTCTGCACGTAAGTTTTCATCTCTGGGATAAATGCCCGGGAGTGTGGTCATGGGCCTCTATCTCCTTTATTTTCAGTTGAGATATAATTGAGATACAACCATGTATAAATTTAAGGTGTACAGTGTGTTGATTTGATACATTTATAGGCCACAATATGATGACCACCTAAACCTAAACCTCCACCACATGATCATCATTGCCTTTTTGTGATGAGAACAGTTAAGATGAATCTCTTAGCAGCTTTGAAATGTATTAATATGGTATCGTTGTCTGTAATCACTATGCTGTGCATTAGATCTCTCGAACTTATTTATCTACCAGTTGCGAGCTTGTACCCTTAAATAATATTTCCCCAACCCCTCTAACCCTGTATCTCCTTTTAAAGAGACTGTTCTCTGTGTGTGTTATTCCAGGATATAAGTAACTCAGTTTTTGCTTATTTGCACGGAGATCAAATATCTCAGACCTACATATATTTCTCAAACAATGGGGGATTCAGATTTCAGAAGTTTGCCTATGAAAAACAGGTATGTTCAATTTGATAAAAAAGTGAACAACAAAAACAAATATATGTTTATCTTCTGCATGGTAGGAGTAATCTGCATGGTAGGAATAATTAGCTATCACTGTGTGAACAAGAGCTTTTCTCTCTTTAGGAGCCTAAGGCGCTGGGAGAGTAGGGAAAATTCTAGGTCATAGGAGGTTTTTTAGGAGTACTTATGTAAATAAACCTGGTGCCATGGTAAAGTCTGCACTTAACCCCAGGCCCAGCCAAAGATCAGTACCATCAGGTGCCATCATCATTCTAATTACACAGATGAGAGAACTGTCCTGGGTCAGTTCCCACCCTCCCCAAATTATACTCATCCAAAAGCACAGAGTGTAAACCTTACTTGGAAATAGGGTCTTTGCAGATTGACAAAGTGGGTTTATAGTGGGTTGCATGCCCAACGTAGAGGTCATACTGTGTTGATCATACTGGAGATCATACTGTATCAAAGTAGGTCCTAAATCCAACAACTGGTATCCTTAGAAGAGGGAGAGGACATGCTGAAGTGGACGGGATCCTTGGGAGCTCAAAGAGATGAAAAAGTTTTATTCTGATGCAGAGAGAGTCCCGAGTCCCCAAACACTTGGGAGGGATGTGTAAAGGAAAGCAGAAAGAGTCTGCTCTGCTCTTGAGCATTCATAGTGTCCCAAATGCAGGTTCTCTGCCCTGCCCAAGATTCCCAAGGGAGCCTAGAACCTAAGTGACCACATATTTTCATCCAAATTAGGCCTAGGACTCAGAATTAACATGTGCGCTTAGTTGAAATCAATCATGGCTAAAAAAACTGATAGGTGGTAGGTAGGTAGATAGACAAATAGGTGATAGGAATTGATTCACGTGGTTAAGGGACAGAGAAGCCCCACAATCTGCCATCTGTGGGCTGGAGAACCAGAAAGTCTGGTTCCATAGTTCCCTTTAAGTACAAAAGCTGAAGGACCAGGGAACCACTGGTGTAAGTCCTGGCATCTGAAGGCCCAAGAACAGAAGCTCTGATGTCTGAGGGCAGGAGGACATGGGCATCCCAGCTCAATGCAAGAGATCTCAGATTCACACCTTACCTCCCCTTCTTCCTTCTATGCAGGACCCCAATGGATTGAGTGATGCCCACCCACACCGGTGAGAGTGATCTTCACTGGGTCTACTGAATCAAATGATTCTTCCAGAATCACCCTCACAAACACACACAGAAATAATGTCTTACCAGCTACCTGGGCATCCCTTAGCTCAGTCCAGCTGACACACAAAATGAACCAACACAAGTCCACCCCTTGTCGCTGGGCGGCCATCCGCATCTCCTTCAACCATACTTACTCTCCAAATAAAGACACTAACAAGGCCATAATTCCACCCAACACAATCCATCCGTCCTCAGTACAACTGAAAAGGCATTCCTCCTGTGTGAAGTTTACTCTTCTCCTTGATGTCCTCTCACTCAAACACCAGTTATAAATACAACAGTCTATCCGCTGTGTGTGTGAATGTGTACGTGTGTGTGCACGTACGTAGGGTTATTGTTGTTTTCGAGGCCAGAGGGTTGAGACTCCTGAGCAGTCATGATTCATCCCCTTGGAGTTCCACAAGCAGGGAAGGAGTTGGGGTGTCTGCTGGGGAGGTGATGAGCAGGCCACTGGGAAGCCCAGCAACCCATGCCAGCTGGGATGGATTGACCATATGTCTTGGTCAGCTTGTGCCACCGTAACAGATGCCACGATCTGGGTGACTTAAACTATGGAAATTTATTTCTCACAGTTCTGGAGGCTGGAAAGTCCAAGATCAAGACAATAGGGGATTTAGCTCCTGGTAAGGGCTCTCTTCCTGGCTTGCAAATGGCCACCTTCTTACTGTGTCCTCACCTGACGAAGGGAGAACGCTTGGTATCTCGTCTTCCTTTTAATATATTTTCTTTATTTGAGAGAGATAGCTCGAGCAGATGGAGGGACAGAGAGAGAGGGAGAAGCAGACTCCCCACTGAGCCTGATGCAGGGCTCGATCCCAGGACCCCGGCTTGTGATCTGAGCTGAAAGCAGACACTCAGCCACTGAGCCACCCAGGGCCTCCAGGTGTCTCTTCTTATAAAGGCACTAACCTCATCATTGGGGCCCCACCCTCATGACTTCATCTAAACCTACGTAGTTCCCACAGGCCCCACCCCCAAGGGCCATCCCACGGGGGGCTAATTTGAATGTTTGTCTCCCCCCCCTCAAATTTATATGTTGCCATTCTAATGCCTGATGTGATTGTATTAGGAGTTGGGGCCTTTGGGCATGTTTATTTATTTTTTAAAGATTTTATTAATTTATTCATGAGAGACAGAGAGGCAGAGACATAGGCAGAGGGAGAAGCAGACTCCCTGAGGGGACCCTGATGTCGGACTCAGTCCTAGGACCCTGGGATCATGCCCTGAGCTGAAGGCAGAGGCTCAACCACTGAGCCATCCAGGTGCCCCAGGAGTGTTTAGAATATGAAGATGGAGTCCCAGTGAAGGGGATCAGTGCCCTTCTGAAAGAGGGAGCCATGGAGAGTTTGCTAGCCTCCTTCTGCCATGTGGGAACACAGTAACCCATAAGAACATAACCCAGAAGCGGGCCCTCTCTTGGCTGTGCTGGCACCTTGATCTCAGATTTCCAGCCCTCCACAACTGTGAGCAACGAACTTGTATTGTCTCTAAGCTACTCTCTCTGTGGCACTTTGTGAGAGCAGCCAACATGGACTAAGGCAGGTGTTAGGACTTGAACATATGAACATTCGGGGAAGACACAGTTCAGTCCACAACACTGTTTATGATGGAAAACTCCCCCTAGGAACCCAAGAGGCTTAAATAAAACAGCAGTCTTTCTGGAGAGAAAGATGTCTGGAGGCAGCCAGATGGGCTAGCCCACTGTCCCTAGAATAGGGCCTGTGGCCTCATGCTCCAACTTGGCTTCTGGGCACTTTGCAGACCCACCAAAAATAAGGAATCTCAGCAGGAGTGAAGGCTTTAAGCAGGCGTCTAGCAGTCTGAGGTCACACCACTTCCTCCCAACATCCCCAAACCAAGGTATTTTCATTCAAGGTTCTGTCCTACATGCTACATTTCCATAGAGGGGAAATAGATCGTAACTAAAAAGACTTTCCCTCATTCTGGCTTATGAGGTAATTTGGAGTTTAAATCAGACGCCTTAATGGTTTATTCATATGTGATGTTTTTTGTTTGTTTCACAGGCAGAACTAGTTGGGTCTTTGGGTGGAATCTTCTACTTTCACTCCTTGTCACAGGTTGGGCTGCTTCTCATTGATCAAGGGAAGGTGAGTAACTTTGTGGACTGGGAAGAAAGATTTAAGTGACCTTTGCCCCAAGCCAGGTTTTTGTTAAGAGTCACACACTTGGATTTTCTTTTTTTTTATAATAAATTTATTTTTTATTGGTGTTCAATTTACCAACATACAGAATAACACCCAGTGCTCATCCCGTCAAGTGCCCCCCCTCAGTGCCCGTCACCCATTCACCCCCACCCCCCGCCCTCCTCCCCTTCTACCACCCCTAGTTCGTTTCCCAGAGTTAGGAGTCTTTATGTTACACACTTGGATTTTCATATCTGAAATCCATCTAGGTTTTCATTCATCTATCCATTCATGTATCCATCTATCCATCCATCTATCCATCCTACCATCCATCCACCCATCCATATATCTTAGCTACTTATCCAACCATCCATCCATCCATCCACTCATCCATATATCCTACCTACTTATCCAACTGTCCATCCATCCATCCTTCATCTTTCCATCCATCCATTTACCTACTTATCCATCCATTCATCCACCCACCTGTGCACCTACCTGTTCATCCATGCACCCATCTACCCACTCACACGCCCACCACTCCCCTCCCCCTCTCATTTGCTGATACAGTCATGCACTTGGCAATATTTACGTAGTGTCTAGGAGGTGCTAAGCACAGTGCTGAACACCAAGGATAAAATACAAAGTTTGATGCACATATCGCTGACAAGATGGCTGTAAATGCTTCGTGTTGAAGTCTTTGTTTAGTGATTATTTTCATGTGTATTCAGAAAATCAGTACATGAAACTTGTGACCTCACAGATATCATTTAGAATAAGACTAAGTTAAGAAGACGAGTCAGTCCATGTAAACCACATTTGAAGAAAAACGATTAAGGCAGAAAAAGATTAAGTAGGTCAGCACCCAGGTAGGATGTGCAGCTCTGGAGTTTCGGGGAGCCCTGCAGTCAGGGAGACACTGGGCTGACCTGCATGGCTGAAGCCCCCACCCTCTCCTAGGTCCTGTCCCTGCCCAGAGTGCCCTCATTTGCCTGAAGTGCCCGGGGCCTTGCCCTGCTCCGGAGTGACCGCAGTATCCAGGGTTGCAGGCTATGCATGATTTCCCAGCCTGCCCACAGGCTTTGGCTGGCAGGTCTCCATACTCCAGGGATGGGGTGGGTGTCGATGTGCTGCAGTGTCCCTCGAGGCTCACTCCCTGCACGTTTGCATTCTTAGGGCCCGTCGAGGTGCCTCCACCTTCTCACAGAGGAGGAGAGCTGCAGGGCAGGTTTCTCTGTGTGGAGCTCAGTACCCAGTACTTTTCCACTCCCAGTCTCCCTTTACTTTCGGCCCCCTAGTGCCTGAAACTGGTGGAGCCTTTGGTTTGGGGCTCCCTCTGCAGTGAGCTGCGCCCCATACCTGACCCAGCAGCCCTGAGGAGGGACGCTTTCTCCGGCTCAGCACTTTCTCTGGCCTCACCTGTCAGCGATCCAAGGCTGCCCTCCTTCATGTTGGGCATGTCACCTCAGTTGGCTACTCTGCCACCAGGTGGCTCAGCCCCTCAAGACTGGGGACCTGAGGCAGCAGGTGCATGACACAGCCTGAGCTGGGGGCACCAGCCATCCTGCCCTAGGCGCTGGGTCTCTGGCCCCCCAGCCCGGGGAACTGTGCACGTTGTGGGAGGAATAGTTCTTTGGGGCCATCCTGGGCACCGCGGGTTATAGAGCAGCATTCCTGGCCTCACCCACTCCCTGCCAGGAGCACCCCCAGTCCTGATGGCCCCACATGTCCCTGGACACTGCCCAGCATCCCCTGGGGCCAGCATCGCCCCAAACTGAGACCCACTGGCCCAGATAATGTTTGTAGGAAATCCAGTAGCAAAGCACGCAGCCCCCTGCTACTGCTGAGCCCAGATTCTTTCTCGGGCCCAGATGCAGGGGGCTTTTCCTCTTAGGCTAGATTCAGCTACTCGGAACACCCCCTGAACTTCAGTTTTGGGCTGCCTTTTGACTACAACGGGACCCTTAACATCCTCATCACCCCCGGCCAGAAGGGCATCCTGATCTTCTGGTTTGAGAGGAGCCTGTTGCTTTCCAGAAACTCAGGTGAGTGAGACCCAAGCCCAGGTCCCCCTCTGGGCGGGGGAGAGCACAGCTGGTTTGTCTCTCCCCTGCCTCGAGCAGATGGGGACCAGCCCGTTCTCACTCTCGGGGCTCTCACTGCATCCATCTCTCTCCCTGCCCCAGTTTCCACTTCCTGGAGTCTTTAGGGCCGCGTGGGCAGGTTCTGAAAGTCACCCTCCAGTCACCCAGGGCAGAGCCCCAAGTCTCCCCTCCAGGAACCACAGGTCTTGTTTGGGTGCCAAGGTTAGCAACTCTGGAACGTCGCTCGGGGCTGTCCACTTGGACTTCCCCTGTCCAGAGAGAACTCGGGAAATGGCACAGCACCTCTGGCTGCCTCGCTGAGGAATCGGGGCAATGCCCACACTGCATGAGCCCCTGCCCGCCAGCCAGCATGAGATGAGAAGCAAACAGCAGCCCCTCCACGCTGCCCGGGGAAGGGATACCACCAGGGAGGCCCTTGGACATAGGTGTGGCTGCAAGAGCACCAGCCAGGCCACTTGAATACCATGCCCCATGCCCCGTGCAAGAGAAGGGCTCAGGGCTCCCCTCCATTTGGGGAGCTCATTCGAGAAGGGAAGCTCTTATTCCTTACACGCTGCCCATATAGCAAAAGACATTCCATGCTGTGCAAGACAGCCCATATGCCCCAGCTATATGCCCATATAGCAAAAGGCATTCCAGCATGCAAGACAGCATTTTCTGTGAACCCTGCAGCCAACGATGTGCTACATTCCTGTCCCATGGGGCACACAGGGTTGGTTTTCTCGAACCCAAGCTCATTCTGCATGATGCTTTTATAGCCAAGCACCTTGGTGCTGTGTTTCCCTCCATTATGCATCATGTGAGTCACGCACTAATGGTTGGGGCAGGCGGCGGGGATCGCTCAGCCTTTCAGCAGTGAGGGTCCCTTTGCTCACGACTCTGCCCTATTGTCTCACAGGTCAGCTGGTTTACCCTGTCCAGGTGAAAGAAGGACCCCACACCTTGCTCTCTTCCATTTCTGAGGCCAACGTCACCATCTACAGCGTGGCCGCCAGTGCGTGCCCAACCTATGGGTAGCTTTCTAGAAGTGCCTTATACCGGCCTTACTAACCACTGACCCGCTAGATCCAGTCCGGCCAAAACCAAACCACACCAAACAAGACCTGAACCAAAATGTGATTGTTTCACATTTGAGGAAAACTCTTGGCATAAACTTTTGTACCTTTTCACCATGAAGTGAAATATGAATTGGGTGTTGGCTTTCTGGGGCCACTACAACAAATGCCCCCAAACTGTTATGGTTCTGGAAGCCAGAAGTCTGAAGTCAAGGTTGTCAGCAGGGCTGTGCTCCCTGCATAGGCTCCAGGGAAGGATCTGCCCCAGGCCTGTTTTCCTGGCTTCCAGGCAGCTGTCCTCACCACCATGTGCTCCCTCTGTGCACGGCTGTGTCCAAACCACCCCCTTTTTACAAAGACACCAGTCATCCTGGGTTAGGACCTACTCTGATGACCTCATTTTAACTGAATCCTCTCTGTAAAGAGCTGATCTCCAAATACAGTCACCTTCTGAGGTCCTGCGGGTTAGGACTATGCTGTATCTTTTTTGGAGAGGACACATTTCAACCTATAACAGATGGCATCTCAGGATTTCTTTTCTTTTTTTTTAAATATTTTATTTAAATAAATACATAGTTGACATAGAGCGAGCAGGGGAGAGGCAAAGGGAGAAGGGAGGCTCCCCGGGGAGCAGGGAGCCCAACATGGGGCTCAGTCCCAGGACCACACGATCATGACCTGAGCTGAAAGCAGATGCTTAACCGACTGAGCCCCCACAGGTGCCGGCATCTCAGGCTTTCTTTGGTACTATAATGTCCTGCTGCTGTCCTGAAAGATGAACTTCACCAGACTAATATTTCTCCCCCGACAGCTCCCAAGTTGGAAACATAGAGGCAAATAGTGAGACACACTGAGGGCTGGCGGGGGGGGGGGGTGTCACTTCGGTCCTAAGTCAGTATCTCCCCTGTTTGCTGATCATCGTGTTATATCCTCCCAACTATGTCCCTGTAGCTGTTTAAAATGAACTTAGAGGGCAGCCCGGGTGGCTCAGCAGTTTAGTGCTGCCTTCAGCCCAAGGTGTGATCCTGGGGACCCGTGATCGAGTCCCACGTCGGGCTCCCTGCATGGAGCCTGCTTCTCCCTGTACCTGTGTCTCTGCCTCTCTCTCTCTGTGTGTCTCTCATGAATAAATAAATTTTTAAAAATCTTAAAATAAAATGAACTTAGAGTTACAGAAATTCATGATATAAAATGGTCTTATAATTAAAACTTGTAGTGCATGGCCCTTTAAATTATTATTAATTTTTTTAAATATCACAAGTACAGTTAAAATCCCTTGGGACTCCTGGGTGGTTTAGTCAGTTACACACCTGCCTCTTGATTTTGGCTTAGGTCATGATCTTGGGGACGTGAGATCGAGACCCACATCAGACTCCACTATCTGCTTGAGATTCATTCTCTCCCTCTCTCTCTGTCCCCCCGACCCTGCTCACTCTCTGTCTCTTAAAAAAAAAATTATAATAAAAATAGAAAAAATAAAGTCCCTTGGAGTGGCTCCCTAAACCCAGGTCCTCTTTGGCTCCCTGGAGGTAACCCTGGTTAGGAATTCGGGGAGAAAGACACCCCGTTGAAAGACACACAGCGTGTACTAAATACGGATCTGCTGAGAACATAGCATCGCACAGATCGTTTGCTTGTACGTAAGTGGCATCCTGTCACAGTGTGACTCCCTCTGCCACCCACCTCTTCCACTACACCTCATGTTCTATTCCACTGTGGTGAGAACACGTAACAGGAGATCTGCCTTCTTAACAAATCGTGAAGTGTCCGGTGCAGTATTAACTACAGGCATGACACACAGCCGAGCTCTAGAACGGACTCATCCTGCGCCCCTGAAATGTTATACCTGTTGAATAGCAACCCCACATTTCCTCAACCTGGAACAACTGTGGTTGTCTCATCTAGGGATGTGCTATCAGCAGTCACTGGGTGGCGGCCCAGGATGCTGCCCAGCATCCTACAATACACGAGGCGCCCCCCCAACACCCCCGAAAGAAGAATCTGGCCCCAAACCTCAGGCCAAGGTTGGGAAGCCCTGAGCTGGGTTCATTAGCTCCTTGCTCTGCAAACACACTTCTGCTTTTCTACACCAGATGCTTTCCCCAAGTTTCAACTTAAGCCTTGCTTTTTCTGAAAGCTCCCCTTCTTTTTTTTTTAAGAATAAAAATATGCACTAGATTCGGTTGACCCTTTCACAGAAACTTTTAATGGTGTCCCATGTTCCTTGAAACTCTGTGTCCCCAAAGACCAAAAACAACCTCAATGTCCATCCATGGAGGACTGGTTAAGTTAGTTATAGTCCCATTGGGGTACATTCATACACATGAAAGAAGACAATTAAGTTTTTTTCTTAGAAAGCTTGAGAGAGTTCCAGAATATGATGCCATGAATACAAGACTACCAGAAAAGATGTTTCCTAAAACATTTAACCGGGGTTATCTAAGTCAGAGGTCAGCAAACCATGGCCTAAGGGCCAAATGTGGCCCACCACCTGTTTTTGTAAATACAGTTTTATTGGAACAAAATCACGCCCATTCATTTACAAGCTGTCTCTAGCTGTTTTCACAGAGTTAAACATTATAAACATATCACATGACCAGAAGAGCAGAAAATATTTACCATCTGGTCCTTTACAGAAGATGTTTGCTGACCCCTGGTCCATATGGTGGAATCTGGGGTAATTTTTTGTTAAGCTTTCTATACTTTTTATACTTTTGTCCATTGAAATGACCCTCATTTCAATGTTCTGTCTTGTTCGGTTTTTTCCCTAGATGAATATGAACTGGCAGTTTTAACTCAGGAGAACAATTTGTATTATGGCAGCCTGGGAATCCTGTCAAGTTCTCTAATCAAAGTAGGTAAATTTGAAGTAGCGTCATTACCCTGTTGGTAAGGTATAATGGTCTTGTTCTCAAACTTTTTTTTTTTTTTTGAGAGAGAGAGAGAGAGAGAGAGAGCAAGCAGGAGACAGGGCAGAGGGAGAGGAAGAGAGAATTTTGAGGAGGCTCCACACTCAACTTGGAGCCCAACACAGGACTTAATTCCTCAACCCTGAGATCATGACCTGAGCCCAAGTCAAGAGTTGGACACTTAACAAACTGAGCCACCAGGCGCCGCATTGTTCTCAAACTTTCTTTAAAAAAAAAGGGGGGGGGGGTAGCCCCAGTGGCGCAGCTGTTTAGCGTCGCCTGCAGCCCAGGGCATGATCCTGGAGACCCTGGATCGAGTCCCATGTCGGGCTCTCGGCATGGAGCCTGCTTCTCCCTCTGCCTGTGTCTCTGCCTCTCTCTTTCTCTCTGCATCTCTATGAATAAATAAATAAAATCTTAAAAAAATATTTTAGAAAATTTATTCATCAGAGACACAGAGAGAGAGAGGCAGAGACATAGGGGAGGGAGAAGCAGGCTCCACGCAGGGAGCCCGATGTGGGACTCAATCCTGGGACTCCAGTATCATGCCCTGGGCCAAAGGCAGGTGCTAAACTGCTGAGCCACCCAGGGATCCCTGTTCTCAAACTTCTGATCCTTTATCTGAAGGCTAGAAATTCCTTTGGTTATTAAAATAGTAGTAGTACTTCAATAACAATAGTAATAAATTTTTTAATATGTTATTTATTCACAAGAGACACAGAGAGAGAGGCAGAGACACAGTCAGAGAGGGGAGAAGCTGGCCAATGCAGGGAGCCCGACGCAGGACTTGATCCCAGGTCTCCAGGATCACATCCTGGGCTGAAGGCAGGGGTTAAACCGCCAAGCCACCCAGGCATCCCAACAATAGTAATAATTTAATGTTAATTTTAATTACTATTGAATTAATTAATTTTGGAAAAAATAACAGTGATTTTAGTAGTTATGAAAGTTATGACAACAGCTGCTAAAATTTCCTGAGCACTCAGAATATGGCAGGTGCTGGTCTGAGTGTTTTCCATCTGTCACCTCATTTAATCCCGACCACCACCTTCAGAAGTGGAACTTTGGGGAGGCTAGCTGGCTCAGTCGGAAGAGCTTGTGACTCTTGATCTCAGGGTCGTGAGTTTGAGCCCCACATTGAGCATAGAGATTACTAAAAATAAAACAAACTTTTAAAAAATATTTTATTTATTTATTCATGAGAGGCACACAGAGAGACAGAGACACAGGCAGAGGGAGAAGCAGGCTCCCTGATGTGGGACTCGATCCTGGACCCGGGGATCACACCCTGAGCCAAAGGCGGGTGCTCAACCACAGAACCACCCAGGTGCCCCAAATAAATAAATAAACTTAAAACAAAAGCAGAAGGGCTTAGGTCGTGATCTAGGGGTCCTGGGATTGAGCCCCATGTTGGGCTCCCTGCTCAGTGAGGAGTCTGCTTCTTCCTCTCCCTCTGCCCCTCCCTCCTACTTCTGTTCTCTCACCCCGTCTGTCAAATAAATAAATAAAATCTCTAAAAAAAAAAAAACACCCAAAACAAAAGAAGTAGAGTCTTATATTGTCCCCATTGGACAGAAAAGCTGAGGCATGGAGAGGTAAGAAGTGGTGGTAGGTAGAGGTCATTTCTGATCTTATTTCATCCTCACAAAGCCCCAGGAAGGAGATCATAGCATCCAACTTTTACAAGGGAGGAAAAACTGAAGTTCAAATCTGCCTCTTTCCCAAGGCCCAATAACTCACTAGCTGCTGAGCCCGAAAAGCCCCCCAGGCATCCCGATCGCTCCCTCCGTGCTTTTGCTGCTAGATTTGCAGCTGTCAATGTTCTGGAAGGCTGCCTGGCATGGAAATAGGGTAGCATGGGGAACAGGACCATATCGTTGAAGGCTTCACCCTGACATTCTGGCGACCAGGGTGTTTTCTGGGTGAGGGTCTGTAGTCTTCGTCTGAGTCTCCAGGGCAGTCCAGGACCCGTGCATAAGTCTAGACTACTTCCTGCGTATCCTCTCTGATGAGGAAAGATGGAGCTTCCATTATTGATCACCAACGAGTGAATGCAGCTGAAGGGTAGGTATCTCCTCCAGTGTACTGGTGCCTCTGATTGTTTGGCCTACCTTCATTCAACCTGAAGCGTAAGATAAAACTGACATCCCCAAAACCTGATCTCAGGGCGCCTGGGTGGCTCAGTGGTTGAGCATCTGCCTTCAGCTAAGGGAGTGATCCCGGGGTCCTAGGATCGAGTCCCACATCGGGCTCCCTGAAGGGAGCCTGCTTCTCCCTCTGCCTATGTCTCTGCCTCTCTCTCTGTATTTCTCATGAATATATAAATAAAATCTTAAAAAAAAAAAAAAAGAATGAATGACCTGATCTCCGAAACCGCTTTCCCTTTAGTTTACAGGCCAAAACATCTGGTCCCAAGAGGCAGCCCTGATGTTCACTGATGTGGGGAGGGTGGAGATACTGGTCCCGCTGTCCGACCCGGTGTTTCCAGCATTCGATTTCGAGAAGTGCCCCATCAACATCCAGGCGATTCTCATGGATCCTCAACTCCAAGTTGATGTTTGCAAAGTACGTGATCGTCACTGTTTCGGTCAACGTTCCGGGCACTCTTTCTAAAAAAGACAAATCGCACAGACCCAGTGCTGGGCATTTGTCACCAACAACCAGGCATGAGGGCTCCAAGGGGGGTTGTCAGGCTCCAAGGGGGGTTGTCGGGCAAAATAAGGGATGAGCAGCTATACTTGAATTGCATGTAATTGGCTCAATCTGGCACCCAGCCACCAACTGCCCCAAAGGCTGGTACCCTCAGATGGTTTCATGCCCCCTTATTTCAGACAGAAACATATATCACGTTGTTAGACTCTCTTTGTAACAAGGAAGCCGGTCAATCCTTGCAATGGTTTGGGGGAGAATAAAGCAAAGGGTGTGCTGGCCAGGACTGCTCCCTCCTCAAGCAGTCAAGCGAACCGTCAGCGAGCATTCTACACAATCACCCAGAGATGGGCTGCCTGGCTGGCTCAGCTGGTTAAGTGCTGGGCTCTTTGGCTCAGGTCATGATCTCAGGACCATGAGATCAAGCCCCACATCAGGCTCCATACTCAGTGTGGAGTCTGCTTGAGATTCTCTCTCTCCCTGTCCTCTGCCCCTCCCCCCACTCTCCATCTCTCTCAAATAAAATCTTAAAAAAAAAAATCTTACCTGGAGAGCTCTGGAGAGAGAGAGTCGATTGGGCTCAAGTTTTCTCCTGAGCCTTGGGGGTCAGCCTAGAGAGAGGATGGAAACACACGTGTGCACCAATTTTGATTCGTCGTTTTGTGAGTAACAGAAAGTTCAACTCGAATGAGCTTCAGCCAGATAAACAACTGTTGACTCATGCAGCCAACAAGTCTTGAGTGCCCTCAGGTGAGGCTTGATTTAGTGACTCAGGTCATGCCAGCAAGGAGCTGGCTCTGTCCATCTGTCCACTCTGCCTGCTGGGGTGCTCCATGCTTTATCCTTGAAGAGCCATCTAGATGCCTCTGCGAAGCCCTGGGTTCTGGTATCTTGGCAGCGAGCTGGCAGCCACCTGTGCAGACTGGCATCCTCCCCAGTGTCCCAGGCAAGAGAGAGGGTCTCTCATCGCGGTTCTGCAGAAGCCAAGAGGAATCCCTCCTCCCGCAGGGTCTTCCACATCTCATTGGCTCAGAGGGGATGATGTCATCCACCTTATGCATGCCTGCACCAATCACATGGCTGGAGTTGAGCGGATCAGAGTCCAGTTCCTCGAGAGTCATCAGGTCGACCCACCAGGCCATCTGCCCAAGGATGTGCAAAGGGGCTGATAGGCCAAAGGAGATCGAGGATACCCTCGGGAAAGGGGACCAGCCACTGGACAGACGCAGTAAAATATCTTCTCTGGGCCGGTCCACAGTCCACTGCCGCAGGCCCTGGCAATCACATGGTCAGAAGTGCAAAAGAACGCCATTCCTTTTATTTTTAAATGTTTTTAACATTATTTATTTATTTATTTATTTATTTATTTATTTATTTATTTATTTGAGAGAGAGAGAGAGAGAGACCAGAGAGCAGGGGGAGAGGCAGAGGCAGAGGGAGAAGCAAACTCCCTGCTGAGCAGGGAGCCCAACGTGGGGCTTGATCCCGGGACCCTGATACCATGACCTGAGCAGAAGGCAGATGCTCAACCAACTGAGCCACCGAGGCGCCCTTATTTCCTACTTTGAAATTGTTCCCAGTTTTCTTGAGTTGTAACTACTTATTTCTGGAAGTATGTTTATTAACATATAAGAATGTATTCGCTTAAGGTGTATAGCATAATGATTTGGTGTATAGTATAGCAAAATGATCACCACAGTCGATCTCGTTAACATCCTTCACTTGCCGTAATTACAGATTGGTTCTTTCTAGTGATAGGAACTTTTAGGGATGCCTGGGTGGCTCAGTGGTTTAGCGTCTGCCTTCCGCTCAGGGCGTGATCCTGGATTCCCCGGGATTGTGTCCCACGTTGGGCTCCGTGCATGGAGCCTGCTTCTCCCTCTGCTTGTGTCTCTCCCTGTGTCTCTCATGAATAAATAAAAAAAAACTTAAAAAAAAAGAACTTTTACGACCTCCTCTCTTAGCACTTCCAAATACACATACGGTGTTGTTTAGTTGTAATCACCATGCTGGACTTGACACTCCCAGGACTGATTTATAATTGAATGTTTGTACCTTTTGAACAACTTCACCCATTTTGCCCGCCTCCACCTCCACCCAGTCCACCCCTGCTGCTGGCAACCACCAGTCTGTTCTCAGTATTTATGAGTTTGGCTTTTCTAGGTTCCACATATAAGTGAGCTCATTTGGGGGCACCTGGGTGGCTCAGTGGTTTAGAATCTGCCTTTGGCCCAGGGCGTGATCCCAGGGTTCTGGAATCGAGTCCCATATCGGCTCCCTGCAGGGAGCCTGCTTCTCCCTCTGCCTATGTCTCTGCCTCTGTGTGTGTGTCTCTCATGAATAAATAAATAAAAATCTTTTTAAAAAGTGAGCTCATATGTTATGTATCTCTCCCTGTCTGGCTTATCTCATGTAGCACGATGTCTTCAAATCCACCCATGTTGTCACAATTGCAGGATTTCCTTCTTTTTATGGCTGAATAATATTCCATGGTATATATAACATATTTTAATCCATCCATCCATTCATGGACACTGTGAATAATGCTGTAGTAAACACCAGAGTACAAATATCTCTTTAAGATGGTGATTCTCATTTCCTATAGATACACACCTGGAAGTGGGATTCCTAGGTCATATGGTAGCTATATTTTTAATTTTTTTTAATTTTATTTATTCATGAGAGACAGAGATAGAGGCAAAGATATAGGCAGAGGGAGAAGCTTATCTCTCAATGCTCTGAAATCCATGAAATCTGAAATAAGCTCAGTGCTATGCTCCACGGAGTCCAGGCAGACTCAATGTTATGTGTCTCCTGGGCCACTTCCCTTCTGGGGGGCTACAAAAAAATAAAAGATTTTAGGGTGTCCATTGCCAAACAGCCTTTGGATCCATGGCATTTAATGATATGAGAAAATAAAAGTATCTGTGCCGTACATGAGTATATTGGTTTATTAAGATACCTTTTTATGAAACAATGGTGCCAATAAATGGTAGTGTTTTAATTTATTTTCTTGACTTGCCGTGGTAAAATATCCATCTCCCACCATGGGGTTTTTCTTGCGTGCCCTTGAAATCACATGTCTGGAAATTCCGACTTGAAGCAGAAAAAGAGAGTGAGAGTGAGCAGGAATAAGGCTTTTGTGCAAATGTTTGACCCCTTGAACTCTTCTGAGGAAGATGGTTGAGCCACTAGCGAGTAGTTTTCCAAAATCCCACCTAAAACAACAGCAAAGCAAAACAAAACAAAACAAAAACAAAACAAAAAACAAAAAAACCCCACCAAAACAGCAACTACATAGCATAACAAAAACCCATGAATGATGGAACACCTGGCCAGCTCAGTCAGGAGAGCAGACGAGCCTGCAACTCTTGATCTTGGTATTATGAGTTCAAGCCCGGTGTTGGACACATGGTCTACTATAAAAAAAAAATACACACCCAAAAATACCCATAGATAAAAGCTGGGACAATTGATTGGATAATACGAGTCCACTGGGATATAAATAAGTGATTGAATCAATAAAGGGAGCGGAGACATATCCCCCCTACAGAAGGACTCCGAGTGATGTACCTTGATACTCTCCCTCCTGAAGGAGAAGTTTAACACCCTGCCTGAGGGTGCCTGGTCTTAGTCACTTAGTCACACACAAAGAACAGTCTGGAAAGGGGAAGTAGCCACTTGGTCGTGGAGAGACCTGGCAGGCACCATGTCAGGCATCAGGGCAGGCTGGGCATCATTTATCCCATCGTCCCTTCCAACTGTTCTACGAGCAAAAACATAGAAGAGGGAAAGTGTCTATGAGATTATCCCAGCAAACGTGTGAAAACAGAATGATAGAATATGGCCATGTGACAACCCCAATGTCAAAAAGGAGGGATAGCCAGCCCTAGGTGCTGCTGATGATAGATGAACCACCCATGACCCAACCCAAACTGATGCATCCAGCCACCATTGACCTGCCAGAAACTCAGGGCAGGGAGGAATGCACCCACCTGCACCAGGAAAATCCAAACTGAGGGGAACTATAGGTCCAGTGACCTGGGTGCTTCAAAGATAAAGAGAATATAAAAGAAAGGGATGAAAAAAAATAAAGGGATGAAGGGGGAGCCTGGGAATTGAAAGATTTAATCAGAACAACATTTTAAAATGGACAGGACTAAAGTCTCATCACCTAGGGATGCCCACGGGGCAAAGAAGCAATGATGGTAAAAGTCAGGTGGGTGGGTGTCAGGGGTGCACTTCTGGAGAGAGGAGGGCCTGCGATGGGGTGATGGGTGGACCTCAAGGGTCTTCTGGGGGCTGCAGGATCTAGCAGGAAAGACCAAGGGGTGAGCTAAAGACTGACAAGTTCCATCCCTAGGGGAGACCCCTGAAGGCGTCCCACCTGCTTGCCCCCATTCTGTTTTGGGAACATGAGCCTGATTTAATTAATCAATGGTTTGGTGTTTCTACCTAGGTAGAGCTTCTGCAAGGAGAATTTGACAACAAAATGTACACCATTGACATGAACAGCGAGTTGGAGCTGACCGCCCTGATGATACCACGGCCAGGCATGTCCCTGGTCCCGCTGGTAAGGCCACCTCCTGTGTTTGACAGGCACTCCGGATACAGGGCACTCCCCGGTGTGCCAGGCTTGGAGAGTCCCCTGGGATCCCCCGGGGAGAGACCTCGCCCCTGATGCTTCGTAGACACGCCAGGTCCTGCTCTTTGGTGAGCCTCTGCCTGCCTGGCCTCCTTTCCCACAGCCCGTGGGCCTCCTCCACCCTTCTGCCGGGCTGCCCCGTGCTCCCCACAAGCTCCTCCTCCCCTCAGCCCAGCCAGACCCCATCTGAAAACGAGGTGGGGCATGACTGATATAAGGCCAGGGGATGAAGTTCAGCCAGCAGGGACCTGCACCTGCAAGGGGGGCAGCCAGGCTGGCTCCCTCTTATCCTGGGCTCTCCTCTGAGCCTCCCCATGCAACCAGGGATGGGTCTGGGTCCTTCAGCTGTGCAGCTCCAGGCTGCCTTGCAGCACGGGGCTCAGAGGCCACAGCTGGGGGTGGGTGAGGGCTGGGGGGCGCGTTTGGGGATTGGAGGGGTCCCTGCCTTTGCAGAGCAAGCTCGGGTTTCAGTGTGAAGGTGCATGGGTGTCACCTATGGGTGAGACCCCAGTGGCTTCCCTTTATGTCTGCTGGCCCAGTACATCGTGCTTCTCCTCCCCGCCCCCCCAGGCAATGGTGAGCAACCCGCACTCCCTGGGGCTGCAGGCCGTCATCTACGAGGATGGCTACACTTATGACGGGAACACCAGACACAGACTGGTGAGCTGCGCTCCCCACCCCCACCCCTGCCCCAGGCCCAGGTCTGCAGGATGTAGGGCACAGCCTTCACTGTCTGGCCACCTTAGAGTCCTCCTCGACCTGACCTTCCTCCCTCCTTTCCTTTCTTGCACCTGGAAGCTGCGGCCTCAGGTGCTGGAGAATCCGGAGAGGACATGGCCCTGGACCTCCCCCCAGGCAGGTAGCTGTCACCCAGACAAGTGGGGTCATTACAGTGTCACAGGGGATAAGCACAGAGGCCACGGCAGAGGGCCCAAGATGGCTCTAGGGAAATGGGGGTGGTTGGGTAAACCGAGGCATCAGGATGGAGGTGAACTAGGGAGACCAGGAGGGGCTTGGCCAAACAGGAGTCTAGGGGATCCGTAGGGCGAAGCCAGGCCTCACGGCCACACTATGAGGTTTGCACTTGATCCCAGAAGCCTAGGGCGGGGTTGGGAGACATACAGGGACAAGGCATCAGTCCACCACAACAGGGTCTGTGGACCAGTCCCTGCCACCTCTGAAAGAAGAGGGGAAACAAAGTCACCCCTCACTCCAGGCCCCCCAGACAATGGCAGCAAGGAAATGAAGGAGCTTGGGGTGGTCATTTCCATGAGCTTATAGAAGTCTTTGGTCGCCGGTGGTGATACAATTAGAATCAGGAGAGGCCTGGATACTTTCCAGGGTCATCCTCCCTATGCCCATAGCCCTGCCTCCATCTCCCCTGAGCCCTGACTGGGCTCGGCCCTCTGTTTGCTCTTGATTCCACAGAACATTTCCCTGAGGCAGCAGCACCACTGGGGCAGAGCCGACCCCAACTTCACCTCCAGGTCCGTGGTCACCTCTACCGGAGCTGGGGAGGGGGCAGCCCAGGCTGTCTATGGGGTTCCCTTAAAAGGGTCTGGGAACATGGGGCACACATCCAGACTCCATCCCTCCAAGTTCAGTGAGGTCAGAACAATTGAAAACACTTTCTAAGCAGTGGGTTCCTCAAAAAAATTTAACATAGAATTATTATCTGATCAAGCAATCCTGCTTCCTATCTACACTCGAGAGAATGGAAAGGAGGGACTCAGGCACTTGCACCACCGTGTCCACAGCAGCATGATTTACAATCACCAACACACGGAAGCCACCCCCGTGTGCACAGACAGACGAGTGCATGAACACAATGCGGTCCGTCCACACACTGGGATATGATTCAGCCTTAGAAAGCAACACATACTGCCACCTGCCACCACATGGACAAACCAGTTGAGGACACTGGGCTCAGGGAGAGGAGCCAGACCCAGAAGGACACCTCCTGCAGGACCCCACTCCCAGGAGGTCCCCAGAGTAAATATTTCAGCAACAAGTTTTAGTTCTAGATACAGAGTTTTGCGCCACTGTATCGTATAATTGAAATTTGCTAAGAAAGTAGAACTTGAGGGGCACCTGAGTGGCTCAGTCAGTCAAGCATCTGCTTTCAGCTCAGGTCATGATCCTGGAGTCCCGGGATCCAGCCCCACCTTGGGCTCCCCGCTCAGAGGGGAGTCCGCTTCTCCCTCTGCCCCTCCCCTTGCTCATTCTCCCTCTCTTTCACCTCTCTCTCTCTCTCTCAAATAAATAAATAAAAATCTTTTTAAAAGAAAGTAGAACTGGGATCCCTGGGTGGTGCAGCGGTTTGGCGCCTGCCTTTGGCCCAGGGCGCGATCCTGGAGACCCGGGATCGAATCCCACGTCAGGCTCCCGGAGCATGGAGCCTGCTTCTCCCTCTGCCTATGTCTCTGCCTCTCTCTCTCTCTCTCTCCCTGTGTGACTATCATAAATAAAAATTAAAATTAAAAAAATCTTTATAAAAAAATAATAATAAATAAAAGAAAGTAGAACTTAGGGACACTGGGTGGCTCAGTGGTTGAGCGTCTGCCTTTGGCTTAGGGCGTCATCCTAGGGTCCTGGGATCGAGTCCTACATCGGGTTCCCTGCGGGGAGCCTGCTTCTCCCTCTGCCCGTGTCTCTGCCTCTCTCTCTCATGAATAAATAAATAAAATCTAAAAAAAAAAGTAGAACCTAAATATTCTCAGCCTCCCCCCCCCCAAAGGTAAATATGTGAGGGGATGGATGTGTTAATTAACTCCATGGAGGGAGATCCTTTTACAATATGTACATACACCAAATAATTACGTTGTATACTTTACTTTTTTTAAAAAAATTTTTATTTATTTATGATAGTCACACACACACAGAGAGAAAGGCAGAGACACAGGCAGAGGGAGAAGCAGGCTCCATGCACCGGGAGCCCGACGTGGAATTCGATCCCGGGTCTCCAGGATCGCACCCTGGGCCAAAGGCAGGCGCCAAACCGCTGTGCCACCCAGGGATCCCACGTTGTATACTTTAATGGCCTTACAATTTATCAGTTATACCTCAGTAAAGCTGAAAAATATAAATGAAGGGTTAAAAAAGAAGTACGTTGTATGTTACTAATACAGAATATGTGCTCCTCTCTCACACTTATGTTGAATTTATTTAAAAATCACTCAATTTTTTTTTTGTACTTGGCCATTAGGATCATCAGATCTCCCAGGAGAGATTTTGAGACCATATTCTCAGACTTTAATCCAACAAAACTAGAATTGAACAGCCAGAAAAGCAAAACCAATAACAAAAAGCCCCTTGGAAATTGAGAAACATTTTTCTAAATAGTCCTCGAATCTTAGAATCCATGGAAGACAGCTAGAGGATACTCAGAGGAAAATATGTACCCTGAGCACTTTTATTATTAAGGGGAGACAGAAACTAAAGATGCACGAACTAAATATTTAACTTAAAGGACTAACAAACCACAAAAAGAAGGGAATTAACAGGGCAGCCCCCGTGGCGCAGCGGTTTAGCGCCACCTGCGGCCCGGGGTGTGATCCTGGGGACCCAGGATGGAGTCCCACATCGGGCTCCCTGCATGGAGCCTGCTTCTCCCTCTGCCTGTGTCTCTGCCTCTCTCTTCGCTCTCTCTGAATGAATAAATAAATAAATCTTTAAAAAAAAAAAAAAGAAGGGAATTAACAATGGTACAATCCGAAATGTATTAAACAGAAAGCAAAAGGTGGTATAAAGTCACAGTGATGGGCGCCTGGGTGGCTCAGTGGGTTAAGCATGTGCCTTTGGCTCAGGTCATGATCTTGGGGGCCTGGGATCGCGCCCCACATCGGTCTCTGCTCAGCGGGGAGTCTGCTTCTCCCTCTCCCTCTGCCTCTGTTTGACAAGCTCCCCCTGCTTGTGCTCTCTCTCTCTCTCTGTTTGACAAATAAAAAAATATTAAAAATAAAAAAGTCACAGTAAGGCGTAAGGCTGGTTCTTCAGAAGAGCAGTTCACTAGATGAGACCCCGCAATCCTGACAAAGGAGGAGAGAGAGAGAATTGAAATGAACAATGGGAATGGAAAATGAAAAGTATGGACATCGGAGGGATGGAAAGAATAGTGGGAGGGACTTCCTTAAACCAAAAAGCTCCCGCCCGGTGAAGGAAACCACCAGCAAAATGAAAAGGCGACCCGCTGACGGGGAGAAGATACTGGGGCCGATCTCCACAATATATAAAGAACACACACAACTCATTTGCAACAGCAACAATCTGATCAAACCACGAGGAGAAGGTCTGAGTAGACATTTTTCCAAAGAAGACGTCCAGATGGCCAACGGTGCGTGAAAAGACGCTCAAGGGCGCTCATCGTCAGGGAAGTGCAAATCAAAACGACAGTGAGAGACCACTTCACCCCTGGCTAAAATCAACAACTCAGGAAACAACAGATGTTGGCAAGGACACGGAGAAAGGGGAGCCCTGTTGCACTGTTGGGGGGATGCCAACTGGTGCAGCCACTCTGGAGAACAGTAGGGAGTTTCCTCAAAAAGTTATGCGTAGACCCACCATACAATCCAGCAATTCCACTTCTGGATGTTTATTTGAAGAAGACAAAACCACTAATTCGAAAAGATATATGCACCCCTATGTTTATAGCGGCATTGTTTACAGTAGCCGAATTATGGAAGGAAGCAACCTAAGTGTCCATCCATAGGGGAATGGGTAAAGAAGACGGGGTGTATATGCACAATGGCATGTTGCTCAGCCATAAAAGGAATGAAATTTTGCCAATTGGTGACAACATGGATAGATCTTTTTTTTTCTTTTTTAGAAAAGAAGGAAGAATTTTATTTTTTTAAAAGATTTATTTATTTATTTATGATAGACACACACAGAGAGAGAGAGAGGCAGAGACACAGGAGGAGGGAGAAGCAGGCTCCACACTGGGAGCCTGACGTGGGACTCGATCCCGGGACTCCAGGATCGCACCCTGGGCCAAAGGCAGGCGCCAAACGGCTGAGCCACCCAGGGATCCCCAAGGAAGGATTTTATTTAAAAAAAAGATTTTTTTTATTCATGAGAGACACAGAGAAAGAGAGAGGGAGAGAGAGGGAGAGGCAGAGACACAGGCAGAGGGAGAAGCAGGCTCCATGCAGGGAGCTCGATGTGGGACTCGGTCCTGGACCCCGGGATCACGTCCTGATCACACCCTGGACCCTGGGATGGAGCCCCACATCGGGCTTCCTGCTCAGCAGGGAGTCTGTTTCTCTCTCTCTCTCCCTCTGCCCCTGCCCACTACTCATTCTCTCTTTCTCTAAAAAAAAAAAAAAGGGATGGATGAGCAGACATAGACACAGATGGATGGACAGGTGGACAAATGGAGAGATGGATGGATAGATGGATGGATGGATGGATGGATGGATAAATAAATCGATGGGTCAGTGATTATTTTTAACACTGACATTACTTGTGACACGAGTGTGCGATAAAACACATTCCCATTGCCTTGCAGCATAAAGAGACCCACAGGCTCTACCATCACTCTGGACATAGCCAACAAAGAAATTTCGTGTGTGGACCTCAAGCCACTGGTAAGTCCCTAATTTTTGCTTTCCCATATTCATTGTTGTTAGTGTTAAGAGTAGTGGTGTGATGGGATCCCTGGGTGGCTCAGCAGTTTGGTGCCTGCCTTTGGCCCAGGGCATGGTCCTGGGGTCCTGGGATTGAGTCCCGCGTCAGGCTCCCTGCATGGAGCCTGCTTCCTCCTCTGCCTGTGTCTCTGCCTCTGTGTGTGTGTGTGTGTCTCATGAATAAATAAATAAAATCTTAAAAAGAGAGAGAGAGAGAGAGAGAGAGAGAGAGAATAGTGGTATGAGAGGGTTGGGGTACAGTACCTGGGTGGCTCAGTTTGTTAAGGATCTGACACTTGATCTCAGCTCAGGTCTTGATCTCAGGGTTGTAAGTTCAAGCCCAGCATTGGGCTCCACACTGGGCATGGAGCCTATTGAAAGAAAGAAAGAAGAAAGAAAGAAAAGAAAGAAAGAAAGAAAGAAAGAAAGAAAGAAAGAAAGAAAGAAAGAAAGAAAGAAGAAAGAAAGAAAGAAAGAAAGAAAGAAAGAAAGAAAGAAAGAAAGAAAGAAAGATAGATGACAGTGGGCCTTGTCTGGCTTTTCCTTGAGGGGCTGGCTGAGCCCATGCTCAGGATCTGAAAATAGAGGTGATCCTGTCCCCGTTGTTAGGGTCACTCCCTTTCCGACAACATCCCCCAGGGCTGACCCTCATGACTCACCATCCTCGGAGCAGGTGTATGTATCGCTAGTCTCCTTCCTTGCACTCCTCAGTGGTCCCGAGACAACCGAAAACAATATACATCCACACAGGGATCTGTACACGAGTATCCGTAGTGGCATTCTTCATAATAGTCAAAAGGTGGAAGCAACCCCAATGTCTCCCGATGGGTGAATCAATAAACACAATGGGGTGTATCCTCACGCTGGAAGATTATCCAGCCTTAAAAAGGAAGGGACAGGATGCCTGGGTGGCTCAGCGGTTTAGCGTCTGCCTTCAGCCCAGGATGTGATCCTCTAATCCAAGGATCGAGTCCCACATCGGGCTCCCAGCATGGAGCCTGCTTCTCCCTCTGCCTGTGTCTCTGCCTCTCTCTCTCTCTCTCTCTCTCTCTCTCTCTCTATCTCTTTCTGTGACTATCATAAATAAATAAAAATTAAAAAAAAAAAGAAAGGGACAGGGACACCTGGGTGGCTCAGCTGTTGAGCGTCTGCCTTTGGCTCAGAGCATGATCCCCAGGTCCAGGATCAAGTCCCACATCAGGGAGCCTGCTTCTCCCTCTGCCTGTGTCTCTGACTCTCTCTGTGTCTCTCATGAATAAAAATATAAAATCTTAAAAAAAAAAAAGGAAGGGACACCCTGACACCTGCCCCCACATGGACGGACCCCGAGGACACTGGGCTCAGGGAGGGGACCCAGACCCAGAAGGACACCTTCTGCACGACCCCACTCCCAGGAGGTCCCCAGAGGAAGCCCGTCCACAGCGACAGAGGAGGTGGTGGGAGCCAGGGGTGGGGCAGGGGGTAGGGGGGTCAGTGCTTCCTGGGGACAGGGTCTCCGTGTGGGGAGATGGAAGGTTCTGGAGACGGTAGAGGGGTACACGGTGGGGTGAGTGTGTTCCGCCCCCTGAGCTGTGTGCCTAGAGACAGTTAAGGTGGTGAATTTTATGTTATGCATATTCTACTACAATTTTTGTAAAATTGATACAAATCTTGCATTCTGTGCCACGGTAAATCTGTGTTGTCTTAATGTAAAGCTCTTTTTACTTTTTTTAAAAAAGATTTTAGAAAAAATAAAATAAAAAATAAAAAAGATTTTAGGGCAGCCCCGGTGGTGCAGCAGTTTAGCGCCGCTGGCAGCCCAGGGCATGATCCTGGAGACCCTGGATCAAGTCCCACATCAGGCTCTCTGTATGATGCCTGCTTCTCCCTCTGCCTGCTTCTCCTTCTGCCTGTGTCTCTGCCTCTCTCTCTCTCTCTCTCTCTCTCTGTCTCTCATGAATAAATAGAGAGAGAGAGAGAGAGAGAGAGAGAGGCAGAGACACAGGCAGAGGGAGAAGCAGGCTCCCTGCAGGGAGCCCAATGTGGGACTGGATCCGGGTCTCCAGGATCGCGCCCTGGGCCAAAGGCAGGCGCTAAACCACTGAGCCACCCAGGGATCCCTAAAGCTCTTTTTCCAACACCAAAAGCCTGTTTTATGCTTTTTTGACTTCTTTTCATTTTATTTTATATTTTAAAAGTTTTATTTAATTTAGAGAGTGGACAAGCAGGGGGAGGGGTAGAGGGAGAGGGAGAAGCAAGCTCCTCATGAGCAGAGAGCCCCATGCTGTTGTAACAGGCTCCATCCCAGGACCCCATCTGCCAAAGGCAGATGCTCAACCACTGAGCCCCCCAGGTGCCCCTCGTTCTGCATTTCTAAATTGGTTTCAGGTTGGAGCTAAGACATAGGCCAGTGATGGGGGACACTTAGCTGCACCCCATAGCTGAGGCGGGCTCTTAGGGCTTGAGCTCTGTGGGGCCAGGCTCGGCAACAGGAAACCCCAGGAACCCAGGTCACCGTGTCACGATCCGGGCGCACCGTGTCCAGTCTCTCCTGGGTATGAGTGTCCCCATGTGAATTTTTGCTGTGGCTGAGCCATCAGTGGCCCTCACCGACCCAGGTCAGCATCGCTGCCTCTCTCCTCTGCAGACGGCGCTCATTTCAGTGGGTTGTGACCAGGAGAAAAAGATCGTCATTCAGAAGTAAGTGTGTTGATGTCGGGGTGGGGGCTGGGGATGGGCCAAGCCTGGTCACAATTGCTTCACGACTGTTAGAATCAAGTGACACTGGGATCCCTGGGTGGCGCAGCGGTTTGGCGCCTGCCTTTGGCCCAGGGTGCGATCCTGGAGACCCGGGATCGAATCCCACGTCGGGCTCCCAGTGCATGGAGCCTGCTTCTCCCTCTGCCTGTGTCTCTGCCTCTCTCTCTCTCTGTGTGTGTGTGTGACTATCATAAATTAAAAAAAAATTTTAAAAAAAGAATCAAGTGACATCATCCTGTCTACTTGTGCGTATATTTAACTTTTCAATAATAAATTGTTAAATAACAAATACTAATAGGTTAAGTTTGTGTTCCTGGCACAGTAAACCTCCCCTCCTTTACCAATTTGGTGACGTTTACACTTTTTCTCTTCTTCCCCAATTGTTTCTTTGTTCTCTTTCTTTTATGAGTCCCCAAATTCCTCATTTTGATTGAAATTGCTTAGGGTTTCTGGTTTTAATTGGCTGCTGACATTTGGGGGGAGCTTTGCCGCTGGTATCCAGTTAGTTACCCTACAGGGAATGCAGCCATGAGAATCCAAATTAAAAAATAAAGAAGCCAGGAGACTGGCCAAATTGCCATACTTTTCCCCGTCTGGCAGTGGCGTGCTGGTAAATGTATCTCCCACCCTTGGAGGGGGAGGCCTGGGTCCTCGCACGTGCCAGTTCCTGTGGTGTGAATTCGCCCTCCCTGTCCATGTCAAGCACCAACGTGAATGATCCGCTGGCCCGCAAAATTCTGGAAGATTTAAGGCTTGGCTCTAGGGAGCTGGCTGGGGCCAGCTATCGCTCCACTGCTCCAGGGCAATAATAAACTCAGGCGATTTTACCGCATTTCCCTCCAAATGGAAACATTTTGTTGAGTCAATAAATTATATATTTAGGACATGTGTGGGGGGAACATTTTCTAAACAATATACAAATAGCTCTGGCCACAAAGAGAGTGGGCCGATTGGCCACATGTGCAACCAGCAAAGGACTCGTGTCCAGACTTTATCAAGAATCCCTACAAATTAAGAATTTTTTGACAATTTTAAAATTTTTATTTTTATTTTTAAGATTTTATTTTTTTATTCATGAGAGACACAGAGAGGCAGAGACACAGGTGGAGGGAGAAGTAGGCTCCCTGTGGGGAGCCCGATGCAGGATTCGATTCCAGGACTCCGGGATCACAACCTGAGCCAAAGGTAGATGCTCAACCACTGCCTCAATTGTCCCACGTGTCCTAGGACAATTTTTTTTGTTTTTTTGTTTTTTTTTGTTTTTTGTTTTTTTGTTTTTTTAGAAAAGGGCAAAAGTCTTGAAGAGGCATTTCTAAAAAAGAAAAAAGAAAGAAACTCCCATGGCTGGTAACCGTGAAAAAGTGCTGAAAACGTGGCCAACCTCACTTATTTAACAGGAAAAACGAAAACTTTCCTTAGAGGCCATTATTCCGCCACCAGCGTGGTAACATTGACAAAGCCTGGCCAGTGGCAAGTACTGGGAAGCGCGGGGAGCCCCTGGCGGCCTCCGGGGCGCACAGACTTCGCGAGTGGGGATGTATGTTTTTCAGCTGCTCTAGAGAACGCATCTTTTGACTCAGCAATTCCAATCACGCACATGGACATTGGCGAGGGTTCCAGAATGTTCTCGGCGGTATTATTCCTAATAGCTCCTGGCTGAAAGCAAGCCAGCTCGAATCCATCAACAGGAGGATGGACAAACAGGTGCAGTGGCCAGATGCATCTGACTATCAGAGAGGCAGAGACACAGGCAAAGGGAGACGCAGGCTCCCTTCAGGGAGCCCGATGCGGGACTCAATCCCAGGACCCCAGGATCACGCCCTGAGCCCAAGGCAGATGCTCAACCGCTGAGTCACTGGGTGCCCCCATTCTAGTCTTTAAAACCCCAAATCATGCAGAGAGGAACGACGTCACCTAAGGAAGCATGCACAGATTTAACCCTACGAAGAAAGTCCAGGAAATGATTGTCTCAGGAGTCAGGACACCCAGCGCCCAGGTCTGGGCCTCTGATCATCATTCTCCCCCATAAACTCGGGCTCCTGGGAGATTCTGGGCCTGGCGGGGAAGATGGAAGGTGAGCCCGGAAGTAGGAAAGTTCTCAAAAATGAAACCGGCGCGGGGTATACGTGTCCAAGGGAAGAATTCACGGTTCCTTGGTGCCACATGGGGGCGGGGGGCTTCTCACCACCTTTTGTCACTTGCAGTGAAATCTCAGCCTGTTACAACGGCATCCTGGACCCCGTGGGCCTACAGGACAATTATAGCTACGTCATTGAGAGGTGAGCCTGGATTTCCCTTCACGCTCCCTCCCATGACGGCCCCTGAGCCCCAAAGGCGAATCAGAAATAATTTTTATTCTTTTTATTTATTTGAGAGAGAGGGAAGGAGAGAGAGGGAGCACAAGCAGGGGGAGGAGCAGAGGGAGGGAGAGGGAGAAGCAGACTCCCTGCTGAGCTTGTGGGGCTCAATCCTGGGACCCCAGGGTCATGACCTGAGCCGAAAGCAGTTGCTTCACCGACCGTGTCCCCCAGGTGCCCCCAAAAATCATTTTTAAATTGATATCTGGACAGTGGGGATTCTGAAGGCAGGGAGAGGACAGGTAGGGTTGGTGCTGGGTCTGCAGGGAGCCACTGTGACATGGCTGGGCCCCTGGCCCAGGTCTGCCCCCTACCAGGCCACCCTTCTGCCATCTTGCCAGCCTGCCACCAGCTCTTGGAGCCTGGGCACCTGCTCACCTGAGCTAGCGGAGTTAGCCAGACACTGCCAGCCCCGGCGGGAGGGGGTGAGGGCTAGGGCGGCCCTCTGTGCAGGGTAGCTGATCCCGAGGGCCACTGAGGTGCCATGGGGTGGATGGGACTTGGCCTGTCTTGGCACCCTGGGCACAGGGAGCCCCCGACCCCCAGCACAGGAAGACACATGTGTGTCTTACACACCACAGCCCCTCGGATTCCAGGCAGGGGTCAGCCCCCTGTCCACACTCACGGCCAAGGCCCAACCTGGGGCTGCTGGGCCTGCTGACCTGTAGGCCTGCAGTCAGACCACGTGGGGGCAAGAGCCGGGGCCTCCGGGAAAGAGGAGTGACAGGATGCACGTGGAGAGATACACAGAGACAGAGAACAAGGGACAGAGAGACAGAGAGAGAGGCAGAGATCGTAAGGAATTGGTTCACAGAACTGCACAGGTTTGGCACATCCGCCGTCTGATGGGGGGGGCTGGGGCACAGCGGGGCGTCGCCGTTCCGGTCCAGAGGCCGTGTGCTGGCCTTCTGGCTTGCCGGAGTCAGTCCTCGTTCTGTGCGGCCTTCACACGCGCCCACGTCAGGGAGGACCCTCTGCTCTACTCCAAGCCCCCGGATTCGAATGTCAGTCTCACCCACCGGCGCCCACACATCCAGAGTCGCGACGTGACCTATCACAGGGGGCCCTGGGTCGTGCTGACCCCCACTCTGAACACAACCCCTCTCCCGCTGCCCACCCCCATCTCTGCCCCAGGGAAGCCTATGACCCCAACTTCCAGGGGCAGAAGGCCAGTGAGGACCTGGTGGTGCATTACCACTACGAGAAGCTGGGCTGCCCCCACCTCGTCTACTACAACACCCCGTGGAAGCCCGTGGTGGAGCTGTAAGTCCCCAGCCGGGCCCTTTAGCACCCCATTGCCTCCGAACACGCTCCCTCCTCCCCGCCGCCCTCGCCACCCCTCTCTGCACACCCTGGACCCCCAGCCGCCCCTCACTCTGGGCCCTGCCCATGCTGTGCCCTCTCCCTGCAATGTCTTTTTTCTTTCTTTCTTTTTTTAATTTTAGAGAGTGTGAGTGGGGGGAGGGACAGAGAGAGAGAGAGAGAGAGAGAGAGAGGCAGACTTCCCACTGAGCACGGAGCCCGATGCAGGGCTCGATCTCACCGCTCTAAGATCATGACCTGAGCTGAAACCAAGAGTCAGTCACCCACCCAGGTGCCCCCTCTTTCGTGAGGTCTCACCTGACTCGGCCATAACGATTCCCCCCACAAGGGGCTTAACTAACAGACGCTGGTTTTCTCACAGTCCTGGGGCCCGGGGTCCAAGGTCAAAGTGCCGGCAAGGTGGGTTTCCCTGAGACTCCCTGCTTGGCTTATGGGCGGCCCCCTTCCCCCTGGGTGCTCGGGTGGCCGTGGCGGAGGGAGGACACGGATCCTTCTCGTCCCCTCCTGTGGGATCAGGGCCACCCTTACGACCTCACTCAACCTCAGCCACCTCTTTAAAGGCCGCAAGCCCCAACACAGTCACACTGGGAGCCAGTCGGGGGACACAGCTTAGCCCAGAGCGCTCACTTTGCCCCCTTCGGGGATTCTACTGCCTTCTTCATCACAGACCCCGCACCCCACTGTGCGTGTGGTTTCTACACTTCCATGGGTGGGGGGGAGGCCTGAAGCTCCGGCTTGTGGAGCCAAACCACGCCACCCTGGGGAGCAGCTACCTCCCTGTAGCCCCAGCCCAGCACTGCCCAGTAGCTTTCCGAGTGACAGAAACGTTCCGTCTTTCCTGCCGAGGAAGTGGCTTTTCTGTTTTACTTAATGGCAACTGATTAATAATCTGGGGGTGGGCCGTCTGCGAAGTGTCGGCCTGCTGAGGCCACACGAGGGGGACCCCCGCCTCGCTCTCCGCCCTGCCGCCCCCAGCACGGCTGCGGCCCCCGCAGCCAAGCCCTGCGCCTGTGTCCCTCCAGGTGGCGGGAAGGGAAGTTCCAGGAGGTGATCCAGGCGGAGTTCGTCCTGCTGGAGGTGAACGGGCTGTTCACATACACGTACTCGCTGACCGCAAGCACGGCGCTCTGCAGGTCGCAGCCGCAGAACTGGACCACCATCATGAGTGACGCCGGCGACAAAGGGCTCTTCTCCTGGAACCGAGAGGTAGCGCTTACTCTTCCCCAAACAGGTCCGAGCAACACGCTGTGGGTCACCGGTCAGACCGGCCACGCCGGGGTGGGGGCTTGGGGGTTGTCTCAGTGCTTGGGGGGCGGTGGCTGCTAGAACACAGCACATGCTGGATGGCTTAGGACAAAGGACATTTATTTCTCACGGCTGTGGAGGCTGGGAGTCCAGGGTCAAAGCACTGGCTGACTCAGTGTCTGGTGAGGGCCTCTTCCTGGGTCACTGCCCACTGTCCTGTCCCAGGTGCTCACAGGGCGGGGGGGCAGGGAGCCTTCTGGGGCCTCTCATGAGGGTGCTCATCCCATTCATGGGGCTCTCCCGCTCATGACCTAAGGCCCCACCTCCCCTACCATCTCTTTTAGGGGGTAAGTTTCAGCATATGGATTTGGGAGGACATGAAGGCTCAGTCCACAGCAAGGGGTACACCTGGGGCCGAAGGGTGACTGCATCTGGGCGTGGGAGGCGAGCAAGTCCTTCGGGAATCTCTCCCACAGGGAGTGGCCAAGTGACGGGGGATGTCGGCACCGAGGCATCCGGGGTGGATGGTGGTGCATTCTCACAATGTGCAAAATTCCAGAAGCATCCAAATGCCTATCACTCTTGGGGCTGATAAAAGTCATGGTCTTTCCTGCCGCGGGCACGTTCCTATCGTGCACCCGGGTTCGCGCACCATGGAGAGACCAGGGCACCGTGTCCGTGTAAGGAGGGGAAGCCGCCGGTCCTGCTGCGAGCCATGGGGCTCACTGGGTGCGGCTCCTCAGTCTCCCAGTGTCAGGGGCGCGAGCGCCGCGCAGCGCAGCGATGCCGCCAGCAGGTGGCGCTCGCTCCCCACACCTGAAGCCCATTCCCAAGTGCGGACACTTGGCTCCTTTTTTGGGGCTTCCTGTCTTAGTCGGCACCTTCAAAGCTTTCTCACACTCCTCCTGAGTTTGATCATTTATTTTGTTAGCTGACGATGTTTTTTTTTTTTTTTTCCAATCTGAGGAGAAATTCACCTAACATATAACCAACCCTTTTAAAATGCAAAACTCACGCCTTTCGTGCATTCACAATGCTGTGCAAGCATCACATCCCTGATCTTTTTTTTTAAGATTTATTTTTATTTATTTATGATAGACATGAGAGAGAGACAGACAGACAGACACAGGCAGGCTCCATGCCAGGAGCCCGACACGGGACTCGATCCCAGGACTCCAGGATTGCGCCCTGGGCCAAAGGCAGGCGCGAAACCGCTGAGCCACCCAGGGATCCCCGATTTTTTTTTTTTAAGAGAAAGCCACACATATGTAATTTGCGTTTATTATTTTCGGACTGTGTCCATACGTAATGTTGCATTCTTAGTAGCTCTCTCATTCAAAGTAGGATGCGAGGGTCCATTTATTTATTTATTTATTTATTTTTTGCGAGGGTGCATTTAAGAAATTGTTGCATTACTGTTTTGTTTTGTTTTTTCCATCAGTCCCGGCGAGTGGCAATTTTGGATGCGAGGGTTTTTCTTTCATGTTGGAGCCACAATGCCTGCATTTTCAGCATAGTCACTGGATGGACTGTCCCGAAGGTGGTGGTTTTTAGTTTTGCTTTAAGTAGCCTCCATGCCCAGCATGGAGCCAATGTGGGGCTTGAACTCACAACCCTGAGATCAAGACCTGAGCTGAAACCAAAAAAGTCAGATGCTTAACCCACTGAGCCACCCAGGCGCCCCCTGAAGGATTTTTTTAAAGTAACCTCTATACCCAAAGTGGGGCTTGAACTCACAACCCTGAGATCAAGAGTTGCATGCTCTACTGAGCCAGTCAGGCGCCCCATACTCCTCTTAAAAATTAATGATTCTTTTTTTTTTTTAATTAAGGATTCTTAAAAGTTTTTTCAATTGTGGTAAAATATGCAACATAAAATCTACCCTCGTAATTAATTTTAAGTGCACAGCTCAGCGGCATGGAGCACACTTACATTGTCATGCACCCACCGCCACATTCCATCTCCAGAACCTTCCATCTCCCCACACAGAGACCCCATCCCCAGAAAGCACTGACCCCCGCCCCCTGCCCCACCCCTGGCTCCCACCACCTCCTCTCTGTCTCAGTGGACGGGCCTCCTCTGGGGACCTCCTGGGAGTGGGGTCCTGCAGAAGGTGTCCTTCTGGGTCTGGGTCCCCTCCCTGAGCCCAGGGTCCTCAGGGTCCATCCACATGGGGGCAGGTGTCAGGATGTCCTTCCTTTCTAAGGCTGGATAATATTCCAGTGTGTGGATGGACACCACTCATTCACCTGCCAATGGACATGGGTCATTCTACCTTCTGGGCGTCGTGACTAATGCTGCTATGGACACAGATATACCAATACGGCCTTGGGTCTCTGCTTTCAGTTCTCTGGTGTCTCTTCTTTGAAGAGCACTAATCTCATCCTAGGGTCTCCACCCTCAGCACCTCATCTAAACCTAATGACCTCCTAGAGGACCCACCCATTGTGGGCTAGGGCTCCAACATATGAATTTGGGGTGGGACACATCAGCGCCTAACCGGGACACAACCAACAGGGCCGGGACGCCTGGATGGCTCAGCGGTTGGGCTCTGCTTTCAGCTCAGGGCGTGATCCTGGAGTTCGGGGATTGGGTCCCACATCAGGCTCTCTGAGGGGAACCTGGTTCTCCCTCTGCCTATGTCTCTGCCTCTCTCTGTGTGTCTCTCATGAATAAATAATTTTTTTTAAAAGATTTAAAAAACAAACAACCAACAGGGCATGGTGAGGGACTAGATGACGTGAGAGGAGCAGAGTCCAGCATTGCCCTCGTTTCCAGCTTGAACACGCGGAAACGGGAGGCGGGTGGATGCTTGGGCCACTTACATCATAGGGATGAAGCAGGCAGCGGAAGGAAATGCAGAGCTCTGTTTGCACACGGGAGACTCGAGGTGCACGGAGGAGCCCCGTGGCTAGTGAAACACGGGCCACCGAGGACAAGTCCGGGCTGGCATGAGTTTGAGAACCAGCTCTGGGGCAGCCCCGGTGGTGCAGCGGTTTAGCGCCGCCTGCAGCCCAGGGCGTGACCCTGGAGGCCCTGGATCGAGTCCCACATCAGGCTCTCTGTATGATGCCTGCTTCTCCTCTGCCTGTGTCTCTGCCTCTCTCTCTCTGTCTCTATGAATAAATAAATAAAAATAAAATCTTAAAAAAAAAGAACCAGCTCTGTTGAGGTGCTAACCTAAGGATGCATCTGCCAGTGAAGCCAGGGGAAGGACCAGGGTGACTGGAGGACTGTGCTGGGGAGACCAGAGAAGGGGTGCTTTGTGGGACACTGTGTAGATCCACCCCATGGGGAGCCGCTGACAAGCGGGAAGCCCTGTTGTGGCCAACACCCAGGGGGCTGAGATCTGAGGGGCAGCTTGGCGTCAGGGCGCAGCTGAAATCAGGTGTCTGCCATCACTCCATCCCTCAACCCGGAGGCAGGGCCTGGGGATGGGCAGCGTGCGCCCAGGTGGCCATCCTCACTGTGGACATTGCTTCTGCATTTACATTGTTTTTTAATTCTGAGAACTTTAGAACCCCCAGAAAAGCCAAAAGAGCAGTGAGATGGAAGGCTAGCCAATCCCGAGTGCTGCAGAACCATCATCCCCAACTCAGCAGGATTGTTTCTCATGGTTCAGCACGTCAGACTGGAGGCCTAGGCCGGGGCCGCCCCCGCAGGGGCAGTCAGCTGGGAGGTCAGAGAAGGCTCTTTTATGTGGGGTTTCTGGTAGCCAGGAGCTGGGCTGTCCATGTGCCTCTCTCCCCAGCAGGGTAGCTTGGGCTCCCTTACAGCATGGTCTCAGGGTTCCAAGAGTGGAAGCTTCCAGATCCCGGGAGGCCCAGGCTCAGGCCACCCATCCCCACATTCTACTGGCCAGAAGCAGATTGCAGGGCCCACCTAGAACCCACCTCCTGATGGAAAGAACTGTGTCCACACAGGGCGAGGAGGCACAGCTCCACACAGGGTGGAGGCATGGAGAGATTCTTCCTTTGACTGAGTGGGTGCTCTGGGGTTTGTTCAGCTGCCCCCCTCATGGGCCTGGGCCATTCCCAGTCCCTCACTTCCATCCATCTGTGTGAGGCACTTTGTTCTGCGGGGCTGCCAGCAGGCAGGGAAGAGATGGCTGGGTTCTAGGCCAAGGCATGCACAGTTTGGAGAGATGCCACTAAGGTCCCCTCCATGGGAGGGCACCATGTGCCTCCCACCACGTGCCCATGTCCACGGCACACCAGCTAGGTGTACCACCCCGGGACAAAATTGTCCGTGTGCCTGTCTTCTGCTATGGGCCAAGCTGAAGCTGAGTCTTTTTCCTGTTTGAGGGCCACTTTCACTCCTTTATCCTGGGGTTCACATTCATGGCCCATGCCCACATTTCTCCTGGGGTTTCAGATGTCCTCGCTCTTCTAGAACTCTCTGTAGAGCTGACAGATTAATCCTTTATTGCAAGACAGTTTGCAAATACCTCCCTCAGTTGGTCGGTTGTGTCTTTCGGGTTTTGGCTTACACCGTGCACAAGGAGCCCTTCATTTTTTTATGTTGCTGGGTTCACCATCATTTTGACTTTCTTGCTTTTACATCACCTCCCCTTCTAGGTCCCCCAGCAAATAGCTCAGAAGAGCAAAGTATTCGGCTCAGGGTAGCAGCATGATGGTCTGGTTCACGGCAAACGGTTGAGCCCAAGGATGTTCCCCCTTTGTATGAAATCCTGGGATCCGGAGGTGGGCCGGAAAAGCTGCTGCCACCACCTGACACCCTCTTGATGCCACGACCATGGTCAGTGGCAGCGCCAATGAGGAAGGTGGCTCTGTTTCATTTCTGCCTTCGAATTTCTCGGGCGTGTCGATTAGCTAGGGCTGTCACCAGACACCGGGCAGCTTAAATGCCTGAGATTTCTCTGTTCCCGGTTCTGGAAGCCAGAAGTCTGAGAACAAAGTGTTGGCATTTTTTTAAGATTATTATTTATTCATGAGAGACAGACAGAGAGAGAGAGAGAGAGGCACAGAGACACAGGCAGAGGGAGAAGCAGGCTTCCTGCAGGGAGCCCAATGCAGGACTCCATCCCAGGACTCTGGGGTCACGCCCTGAGCCAAAGGCAGATGCTCCACCACTGAGCCACCCGGGCATCCCGAGTTGGTTCCTTCTGAGAGTGAGCGTGGATCTGTTCCAGGCTGTCCCAGCTTCTGGTGGTTTGCTGGCCATCTCTGGTGTTCTTTGTAGACCTACACCCCAATCTCTGCCCATGTCATCACAGGACGTTCTGTGTGTGTCTGTGTCCAGATCTCCTCCCCTTTTATTTTTTTTTTATTATTTATGATAGTCACACAGAGAGAGGCAGAGATATAGGCAGAGGGAGAAGCAGGCTCCGTGCACCGGGAGCCCGACGTGGGATTTGATCCCGGGTCTCCAGGATTGCACCCTGGGCCGAAGGCAGGTGCCAAACCACTGCGCCACCCAGGGATCCCTCCCCTCCCCTTTTAATAAAGATTTTATTTATTTTATATATTTATATATTAACTAATTAATTAATTATTTAAAGGTTTTATACAGAGAAGAGAGGCAGAGACAGGCAAAGGGAGAAGCAGGCTCCCTGCAGGGAGCCCGATGCGGGACTCGATCTCAGGATCCCGGGATCACACCCTGAGCCAAAGACAGACACTCAACCTCTGAGCCACCTAGGTGCCCCAAATCTCCCCCTTTTTATAAGGACACCAGACATATTGGATCAGGACCCATGCTAATGACCTCATTTTAACTGAAAAAGACCCTCTCCCTGAATAAAGTCACATTCCGAGGGTTAGGACTCCAGCCTCTGACTGGCGGTGGGGATGCCTCAACCCACACCACCAAGCGTACGAGAAACCAGCAGCGTGGGATTCACACCCAGGACGCGGGGCTGTAAGGGATCCTGGCGAGCGGAGCGGCTAAACCCACTAGCCCCTGACGTGTGTGAAGGCCCGGGCGCAAGAGGGCAGGGTAAAGGCTGAGCAGCCGTCCAGTGTCCCCCACGAAGGTCACAAACCACCAGCCCACCAGGCACTTGGCCCTGGATGCACACCTGTGGGTGTTTGGCAAGAAGTGTTGCAGGTGGGGTCGTGCACGCAGTGGGGGTGCATCTGTGGGCGCCGGCACGGCCTCCCCAGCCCCCGGACATGCTTCTGTCCTTCTCCCCAGAACTACGTCAGCTGCCATGACCCCGACAACGATGCGCCCTTGATGTGGCCAGATGTCCCCTATCAGATCTTGGGAGGCCCGACGGCAAACAAGGTTATTTTCGAGCAGAGGAATGGAATCTACATCTTCTACATTTCTATCGTGGACCCGTACTACAGGTGAGCAGGGGGGCATCGCCCTGTGCCAGAGGCCTCGGTGGGATGGATGGGCCTCCTGGGGCAGGTCACATGCATGGGAGGGGCCCCCACTTTTCTCCCTCCCCTTGGCAGGTGCTGGATAAACATCAATTTTCCCAGCGGCCCAGACTGTCCCTGGGAAGAGTGCTATTTAAGTTCTAGATGACATTTGTTCACTCACTAAAATAAGTCCTGATTCAGAGCCCGTGCTGGTTGCTGGGGAAATAGCCATGAGCAGCAGCCACGTCCCTGCCCTCGGGGACCAGAATCACCCTCTCAAGCCGCATCTCATTGGTGGTGTGCACGAGCGACTTCAATTTCCAGGGATTTTGCAAGCCGTCTTTCCACTGGTAGCTTAAAATCAGCCACGGCGGGAGACTTTACACCCTGGGAGTTGGCACGGCCTACAAATTCGGCCTTTCCCCTTAGAGCTGGTTGTGGAATAGTTACCCTGTGCTCGAAGAGGTTTCTAGGTGTGCTGGCCTACATTACGAAGGTCTCCCCCTGGAAGGGGGAACACGGGACAATGTCCTTCCCCCCCATCATCTATTCCCTCCAAAGTTCACCCCAAAAGCACATGGAGACCCTGCCTGCCCTTGAGACCCCGCACCCTGACCTAAGGGGGCCAGCTCTGGGATGGCCATGGGTGGAAGGCACGGGGTGGCACCCCCTGGGGGGGGCCATCAGCCTCTCTCTCTGCACGGCTTCCAGCAGAGCCCCAGCAAGTTCCCCTATACCCTGGTCCCCTCTCCTGGGATGTAGCGGTTTGCTACACCTGCCGCTTCCTGCCCACCTCATGGATGCCCGCCCTCTGCTTCCACTCGGCAATGGGATGGTTTGTTTGCCTTCTAGATTGAGCCTGGGCATGGAGTCAGGGGGACACCCTGTCCCCAGAGGAGGGTACCATGGGGAACATGGTGGGGGGGTTTGGGGGGGAACAGGACTGTTGCCAGAAGACAGGACAGCAGACTCAGACTGGGTAGGAATTGAAGCAGATGGAACTGGGACTTGGTGTCCCAACTCACCCCCCGGGCGCTGGCTCTCCTATCTCTAGGTTTTAACACACTTACTGGGGTGGAGGGTAGGGCCCCAAAGGCAGTGCCCCATGGCCTCTCACCAAATGCCCCTTTGCAGCTACTGCCACTTGGAAACGACCTTCAGCGTCTACGTCTACGGGGCCTTCCCACTGTCCGTCATCCCCACGGCGGTCATCATCATCCCACTCATGGTCATGCTGCTGTCCGTGTGGCTGGTCTACGCGATCCCCAAACTGCTGCACACTGAGAAGGGCCTCAGGTTCAAGAGCTTCTGGGCTCACCTGTGCAGGAGGTGCAGAAAGGCGTGTTTCTGAGGTGGGAACTGAGCGCACCAGGGGAGCGCAGGGCGGTCGTAAAGCGTTCGGTCAAACAGCCAGTGGCCGCGTGCAGCGTGTTCTGTCCTCCGGCCTCTGCCTCCCACGACCTCGTCACATCAGAGCTCCTTGGCACTGCAGCATCCACGCCGGCTGCGACGGGGGTGCGGGGCAGCCTGTGGGGTAGGAGGCGAGCCTCTGAAAAGCCTAAGACGCCGCAACGTGTCCTGTTAGAGAAGCAGGGAGGGGTCTGCAGCGGGATTCCACTTCTGGGGTATAAACCCTCACGTGTACACACACGCACGTACATGCATGTTCTGCTAGACATGGAGAAACACGTGGAGGCGTGCAGACGTGTATGCACATGTCCATACGTGTGGCCATAGCTACACACATGCACAAGTACGTGTGCCCACACACACGTATGCATGCAAGCACAGTATGGATGCACACGCACAGGTGTATGTATACACGCAGGTGCATGCATTCTCCTAATGTATGCACACCCATCATGTGTATTTACCTATGACGTGAACACACGAGCAGGTGCACACACATATACACGCCTATAGATATGCATACCTATGTACGCAATACAACTAGCTTGTACACACGTGTGCACGTGTGCGCGTATATACAGCTTACACGGATATGTATACTCTGCCCATGCTTTCGGTGGGTTCCCTTGCCACCAACCAGCTCACTCTGAATCCCAGGTGGCACGGGACGGCCGCCTCACCTTAGGAGAGGCCTGGGGTGATCCTGTGACTTTCCCGATTAGTCTTAGGCTACGAAGTATACGCCCCAGTCCTCTTCAGTGGTCCGATGTCCTCCCAACCGACTGGAGAACCTCTAGGCGCAGGCAGTGCCGGGACAGTTACCCCGCCCTCCTGGAGCGCATCCCTGCCCCATCCAGCCTCCCCTCGAGGCAGACCCTCACATTAACCTTCAAGGAAACCACGTGTGCACTTGGCTTTGATCTCAAAAATACCCCAAATGTGGCTGCGGGTAGAGGGGGCCCAGGAGGAAGCTGAGGGAAGTGGGCTCCAGGCTTCTCTGGGCACACATCAGGGGACCGGGTGCGGGTCAGCGCAGGCTCTGCCCGTCTCTCTAGGGAGCTCTGGAGTGAGGGTTCGGGGAGGTGAGCCCAGTGGGCTCATGGTTCAGCTACCAAGCCCGCCTCCCCACACCAGCCACCCCCCCACACCCCCCGGGCTGCCCCAGCAGAGCCCGATGGACTGACCAACCACCAGGGCCCTGGAGACCCAGCCCAGGGCCTGGGGCAGGAGGCCCTTCCTCCTCTGCAGGGGAAAGAAGCAGGTGGCAGTACGGGTGGGGGTGGGGGCATGGGGGAGGGTAGGCCTCATCTCCAGGAAATTTCCTGTCCCTCTCCCGGCAGCCCTTTCCCCACCAAACACTTGGGCAAGAGATCCTTACAGTGCAGTCCGGATGGCGACTCCCCACCTGCCAGAAGCAGCCCCCACCCCACCCCTGCCGGCTGACTCCCAATTTTCTGGGGCTGGGAGAGGAGGGATTCAGAACTCCCTGTGACGGCCGGGCTCCCCAGCTCAGCTCTGGAAGTCCATCCCCCAGGAGGGCCCTACCCTGCTGGGCCTTACCCCGTGACCCCGGCCCACTGTGCCAGGGCGGAGGAGGGGATCGTCCTCCATGTCCAGCCTCAGCCCACTGTCCCTGGTCCCCGGGCCCTGGTGCCACCAAGTGGACAGTGAGCTGAGAGGTGAAATCCATTTTAATGGGGGGTGGCTCCCAGGTCCTGCCTGGGCCCCGAGGGGGTGGCGCCGGCCAGGCCCGCAGCCTGCTTGCCCTTGCCTCCCTGCCTCCCCTTCTTGCTGGATGAGGAGCCGGCCTTCCTCTTGGGAAGCTCAGGTCGCACCACGGGGGCCACCATGTTGGCGGCTGGGGGCCCCGGGCGGGGCGGCGGCTCCTCATCGAGGGCTTTGAAGTTGAAAAAGCAGTCCACGTTGGACACGGTGTCCAGGATCTCGGGCACGCTGTAGTCAAAGGACAGCAGCTCGTCCGGCAGGTGCAACGAGCGGATGTCGCTGGATGAGTCGTCCCCGCCCCCCCTGCTGTCCGGCAGGGCAGGCCCCGGGGCCTTGCGCGGGAACCCCTCGGGCTCGGCGTTGCCCGGCAAGCAGTCGAAGAGCTTCATGGCATCTTCCAGAAGCACCTTCTCAGGCAGCACGAAGGCCCTGGCTGCCTCGGGGGTCCTGGCCTCGCCCGCCCCCAGTGGGGCTGCCTCTGCCTCAGCCACCTTGGGCTCCGCGGCGCCCGGCGGGTACAGCAGGGCCGACCCGGCCCCACCACCCTGCAGCTCCTTGGAGGGGAAGGCCAGGGGCTCACTGGGCCCGTGGAACTGACTGAGGCGGCCCTTGAGGTGGCCATAGGCGCCGGGGGGCAGCGTGGCCTCAGCGGGGAGTGTGATGAGCAGGGAAGGTAACTTGTTATCCTTGGGGACAGGTGGTGGGGGCGGCGGCCCCAGGCCTTCCTTGAGCAGGGGTGGAGGCAGCTCCATGTAGGCAGGGGGACCCCCATCCCCCACAAAGCCCAGGGCCTCTGGCCCAGGCCCCTCAGGTGGGAAGTAGGGCAGGAAGTACTGGGGGCCCCCGGGCACCGGCTGGTAGTGGGGGTACGGCAGGGGTGGGGGCGCTGCCACAGGGGCCTTGAGGTAGTGCTGGGGCTCTAGGAGGTAGGTGCCTGGCGAGGCGGGGCCCCCAGCCGGAGCCCCGGGCGGTCCCCCACCGCCCACTGCTGTCAGCTTGTACAGGGACGACTGGCCGAAGTCGGTGGTGGCCCACTCAATTCGGTAGATGCGAGGGTCAAAGAAGCACCCGCAGGGTGCCATCTGGAAACCTGCAGGCCAGGGAGGGGCAGCCCTGAGAGGAGCTCTGGGACCCACCTGGGGGAAGGAGTACAGGGTGGAGGGGGTGAGGGGCACAGCCCAAACCTCCGGGACCCATCTGTGGGATGGGGACAGAAATTCTGCCTTTGGGGACCCATCTGGGTGTCAGAGGCCCTCGGCATCATTTTGGGGACCTTTCTAGTGAACGGAGGGTACAAGCTTGGCCCTTGAAGGCCTGCTTAAGGGACAGGAGACACAGGCCTTACCCTCTTGGGGCCTCCTAGGGCCAGGGGCACGGGCAAGAGAGGCCCAGATCCCTCTAAGCCACCCGAGTCGCATCAAGGGTTGAGGGGAGGCTGGTACCTGCCGGAGGGGCTGGAAAGATCTCTTTATCCAGGTTTGGGGGCTGATACAGGTTGGAGGAACCTGTGGACGAAAGCAGGTGGGTGGGTGGGTGTCCTGAGCCCTGGGCCCCCACCCCGTCAGGCACCCCCCACCCGCCTCAGACCGACACCCTCCAACGCGTACCCACAGTAGGAAGGGGCTCCGTGCAGGCGGGAGCGGGCTGGCTGCCTCGCCCCTCGGTGCCATCCAGGCCCTGGGGGCTGAAGCCTTCTTGGGGAGCTGTAGGCGCATAGAAGGGTTTGGGGTGCTGCATGGGGAGGCAGGGGGCCCGGCCTGGGGAGGCCAGGGGGGCAGCAGGTGGGAGCACAGGCGGCCCACCCGGACAACAGGTTCCGAGTCCTACAGAGTTCTGTTTGCCTGGTTACTCTGGGCGGCGGGTTCCAGGCTGCGGCCCGCCCGCTGGTCGGGATTCCGAGTATCAGGAGGTGGGGGGTGGGGCGGGTGGGCAGACAGCAGATGGAGAAACCAAGGCAGCCATGGATAGGCCTCACACAGGGCGGGGCAGGCCCCGGACGCAGTCTGCTCCCTCCCGCCCTTGCCAGCAGTGCTCTGGACAGCTCCAGGGCTGCTTCCTCCCGGTAGCCTGCCCTGATCCACACCCACGTAGGCCAAGGCCCCTGCCTCGTGAGCCCTAGTGGTTTCTTAGTGGCTAAAACCTCTCTGGGCCACAGTAGTGGAGGCACAGGGCTGGGCCCATGGGGGCAGCTGGGAGACTCTTGTCAACGAGAAAGGAAAAGTAACTGCCGGGGACAGGGCCGGCCCAGTGTGGAGACCAGGCTCCCCAGAGCAGGAAGGGGACGGCTCAGGGGTCACAGAAAGGCCAGGGTTTTAAAAGAATAAAATTTATTGTCTTCTCGTGCAGCAAGAGGCCCTGCTGGGCCCTCGGGACGCCCCCTCCCGCCCCGTGACTACTTGTACGCGTTGGCCTTGTGCTTTGGCAGAAAGACGAAGTTGGGCGGCACAGGTCCCAGCAGCATCTCACTGTGAAGAGGGCAGGGGACAGGGTCAGGCCTGGGGTCAGGCCCACCGGCCCCTCGGCCACCCGCACCCGCAGACCTCGGTTTCCTGGCACCTGATCCGGATCCAGTCGGCCGCCTTCTGGCTGGCCATGAGTGTCTCCAGGTAGTCTCGGCCCAGGTAGTAGGGCGGCCGCTCGTTGATCCTCTGCGGGAGCCTCTCCAGGAGGCCCACGGGCACGTACCTGCGGGAGGGCGGGCACGGGGTCAGGCCAAGCCGCCCCCACCCTCCACCTCCGCCCGCATGGCCTCCAGCAGCCACCTGCACAGGAAGGAAAGCCACTCGAGGAGGAAACGGCGGGTCTTCTCCACGCCCTGCGTGTCGGAGCCCCAGTGCTCCAGGCCGTATCGGGTGAAGTCCTGCAGGATGGCCAGGCGCTCGGACGACGAGATGTCCCAGTGGCGCTGCTCCTTGATCTCCGTGAACAGCCACGGCTTCAGCAGGGCACCCCTGGGAGAGCGGGGCAGGGTGGCATCAGCGGCCTGGCAGTTGGAGCCCGGGTCCCTGCCTCCTCACTGTGCTCAGCCAACCTTCTAACCCCAAGAGTTCCAACCCACAAGTGCACGTGTGTCCGGTCCCCTCTCCTCCAGTGGCTATGACTGTCTCTCTGCCCCCCATCCTGGCAGAGCCACCTGCTAGGGACAAAGTGCAAGGGAGAGGGAAGCAGACAGGCTGGGGCTCAGCAGCGGCTGCCGGGACAAGACTCAGATGCACCCAACCTTTGCCCACACCGCAGGCTGGGCACTCGGCGGTGGCTCCGGTTGGTTCTCTGTAGCCACCCCCCACGGCACAGAGCACACTTACCGGGCAATCATCACCCCGGCGACGCCAGTCTGCATGGCACGGTTGGCATCCTCGTATGACAAGATGTCCCCGTTTCCTGAGGGACAGAGGCTGGGGTCTCAGGGAGCCACGTGCAGGCAGGAGCTCCAGGGGAGTTCTCGCCAGCCCAGTGGCTCCCAGTGGGGCACTGCAGGGCAGGGTCCCAGGGCAGGGGGAGGGTGGCCGAGGCACGCGGCCCCTGAGAGCAGGGCCGGTGGGAGGTTGGAGTGGAGCAGCAGGGGACCCACCAAACAGGGGCATGGGACTGGCTGCCGTCACACACTGCTCGATGTACTGCCAGTCGGCCAGCTTGGTGTAGCGCTGCTCCCGAGAGCGACCGTGGAGCTGAAGGGGAAGCCACGCATGGGGAGGGAGAGAGGATCCAGGAGGCGGAGGATCAGACAGAGAGAGAGAGACCCAGAGAGATCAAGAGGGACAGGCTGACAGGGAGAGACAGGGAGACAAAGAGACAGAGAGAGACAGAGGGGGAGCCAAGAGCAGGAGGGAGGGGCCGGGGGAGAGACACCGTTAGGGAGGGCTGCCGAGGACTCCTGAGGCCCCCACACCCTCGGTGCCCCAAGACCCACCGTGACCAGCGCTGCACCCCACTCTCGCAGCTCGGGGAGCAAGCGGTGTGCCAGGTTCACGCGCTCCTGGACGCCCGTGCGGATCTTCACTGTCAGCGGCACGTCCAGCACCTGTGGTGGTGACTGGGGTCAGTGGGCCCCGGGGCCAGGTGGGGAGGGTGTAGGGGGCCGTGTCGGGGAGGGCGTCCAAGCACGTACCTGGTTCATGCCGCGGACAATCTGCTGGAACTTGGCCGAGCGGTTCATGAGGGCACAGCCCCCGCCCTGGGAGAAACGGGGGTGGGGTGGGGTGGGCTGGAGCAACAGAGGGCAGGATGCAGGCTGGCCCTGACCCCCCTCTCTGCCTTCGCTGTCCAGATGGGGAAACCAAGGCACAGTGGCTCCCACGGGTCCCCAGAGCCACAAGCGGGAGCAAGGCCAGGTCCCAGGCTTCTGTCCCCCCCATAGTGTGGAGGCCCAGGGCCACGTGGCCACTACCTTCTTGTACACGAGGTCAATGGGGCACCCGACGTTGATGTCCACGAAATCCACCTCGATGGTACGGTTGAGCAGCTCGGCACACTTGGTCATGGTGTCAGGGAAGGCGCCCTCGAGCTGCGGCAGGTGGCGGGCAGGGGCTGAGGGGCTGGTCCAGACCGCCCCTGCCCACTATGGGGATCAAGCTGGTGGCCCTGCCTCCCCCAAGTGGCCCTGCGCCAAGGCCAGCAGCCCTCAAGGGGGCATCGGGTCAGCCCTCGGGCCCACAGCTGAGGCAAGAGGGGTCTGGGAGTGACTGAGTCAGGCCTGGGGTTGGGGAGATCCGACCCTGAACGTGCCCCAAAGCCAGGCAGCCAAGACCCCTCTGCCCTTCCTACCTCCCTCCCTCGGGGTGGCACCAACCTGGACGCCAAAGACGTCCTCGCACGGGTGGCGTCGGAGCAGGGCCCACTCAGACGTCTGGCCCTGCAGCAGATTGGTGCACACGGCCATCTCCCCGCACGTCACGTCGGCCCCGAAGCGTTTACAGATTCGCCGGAAAGGCAGGTTCCCGCACTGGGGGCAGCAGGGGACACGCACACGTGAGGGTGCAGCAGGCAGGGACCCCCAGCACCACCCACCGGGCGGGGGCAGACACTGGGCACCAGGCCGACCTACCGTGGTGAGGGGGGCCAGGTACAGCTTGCCACCGATGTCCAGCTGGAGGCAAATAAAACCCAGTGAGGCTCGCCCTTCAGCCCTGGCTCACGGGCTTCTCCTCGCCCCAGGCCAGGATGCGCTTTGTCCCGCCCTGCCCGGCCTCTCCAGCCTCCCGCACCTCCGGGCCTCCGCACCAGGCGGCGACTCCCCATGTGAGGACTGTTCTGTTCCCCGTCCTCTCCTCTGCGGCACAGCTTCCACCCAACAGGCAAAACCACGGTCCCGGTGCCCCTCCTTCACCCTCTCCACCCCCTGCCCTGACACCCTGGGGCTGGGGGGGGGGGGATGTCCAGCTCTTTCTTTTCTAAAAGATCTTATTTGTCAGACAGAGATAAAGCACAAGCAGAAGGAGCAGCAGACGGAAGAAGAAAGCAGGGGCCCCACTGAGCAGGGATCCCGACGTGGGACTCAATCCCAGGATGCCGGGATCCTGACCTGAGCCAAAGGCAGACACTAAACCAACTGAGCCACCCAGGTGTCCCCATGCAGTTCTTCTGCCCCCATAATCCCAGTGGCCTCAGCAGGGAGCCCTGACCACATACCTTTCTCTTCTCACAAGGCCGCAGCCTCACTATATCCTCATCCGTCAGGGGCCCACAGGTCTGCACCGAGCTGCTGGCAAGGGCACCAGCGCCTGGCTCCGGGAGGGCCTGCTGGGTGTCACCACCATCCTGCCCCGGGGCCCCTTCAGTCCCTGACACCTCAGGGGTGGCAGCATCAGGGGAAGGGCCTGCGCCGGGGCCCCTGCTCAGCTGGCGTAGGGCCTGCTCAGCGCGCTCGAAGCGGACCTGGCGCTTCCGCAGCTGCTGCTGCAGGGCTCTGTCCAGGCCGTTGCGGACTGGTGGGGCCTGCACCCGCTCTTCCCGCACCAGGTTCTGCCCTTCCGGCCCCAGGTGGGCCCCGGCAAAGCGGCAGGTCACGCCGTAGGGGCATCTGCCAAAAGTCTCGAAAAGCACACAGCGGGGGCCCAGGTCCGACGGCTTGGTCTCCAGGTAGCGGCCCACGTCGTGCAGGAAACGGCAGCGGTCGCCAAAGAAACATTTTGCAGCTGATTCCTGCGAGGGAAGCACGGGCCGTGAGTGGGGCAGGGAGAGGCCAGGCAGCCTGCGTGTGAACCTCAAACTCCTCCCCTCCTCCTCCGTGTCCTGCGTGTGCAGGTCAGGCACCCAGCAAGTCTGAGTGTCATCTGGGAGAGGGGAACAATAACGCATCACGGCTTCCTGAGCACTGAGTCCAGGGGCGCAGAGACTCCGACTCTAGGACTTCCAAGCGGCAGTTCCACTCACCTGGACCAGGGAGGGGCAGAGCCTATTCTTGTCGTAGTGGGTGGGTTTCATGTGGGGCCGGCCCTTGTTCTGGCCCCGGGCTCTCTTCTGAACCTGTGGCCGCTCCCCCAGTTCGGCCGCCTCCCCCGCCTGCCCATCTTCCAGTCGGATCCGCTTGGCCTCAGGCTCAGCCAGGTCATTGCCACCGCGCTCTCCGGCCTCGATTTCCTGGCTGGGTTTCTCCTGCCCTTTGGCTTCCAGGAATTCGTGGAACTGCTCCTTGGTGGCGAGGTACCTGCCGGCACAGAGGCAGAAGGAGACGGGCTGGAGGAGGGAGTCCTTTTTCCAGCTCAGATGCAACGGATGCTGGGGGAAGGGGCCGAGAACGCCGGCCCTGCTTCCGTGCCTCTGCTGATGGGTACCGCACTACTGAGAACGGCCAGCTCCAGCCAGGGCACACCTCAAGGCCACAGGCAGAGCCTATTTTGTCCCGGTGTCCCCCTGCCCAGGGGGCTGAGCCAAGCTACAAACAGGCATGAACATTCCTGGCCACATCCGCCTAGAGAAAACTACATGTCCCGGCATGCCTTGCAATGGGGCCACGGCCGCCACACATTCCCCAGCATGCCCCACGGCCCTCGCTTCGGTCACAAGTCCCCGCCCACCGCTGAGGCAGGCTGCAGGTGCACAAGGCTACTCCCGCCAGGGCGGAGACTACAGTCCCCAGCATGCACTGCGGCCCGAGCCTCCAACATGCCCGCCCCCGCGGGCACCGCGGTGTCCTTCGCACACGTGACAGCCCCCAACGTGCGCCGTCCGCGGACGCAGGGACGGCCCGGACTGAAGAGCCCGCGAGCTGGCCGCCGCCCCGCCGCCCCGCCGCCCCGCCGCCCCGCCGCCCCGCATGCACCGCCTGTAGGTCCCGGGAAGGCCTCGTGAGGGTCTCCCCGGCCTCGGCGACTCACTGAGGCTTAATGGGCGCCACGCCCCGCTCCGGCGCGCCAGCCGCCGCGTCGCCGCCGCCACCACTTTCTGCCGGGGCCTCCGCCGCTCCCTCCGCCATCAGCCCCCCTCACGCCCGCTCTGGAGTGCGGCGGGAAGGGCTTCCGGGTCGCGAGTGCGTCTTCCCGGTCGTGCCGGGGAAACGCGCATGCCTGGGGCGCTCCAGCTGACGCCATTGTACGCGCGTCGACGTGAGGGGGCGGAGCCTGCGGGGGCGGAGCCTCGGGTCCCGCTTAGGATTCGGGGTGGAGCCTCGGGTCCCGCTTAGGTAGCGCTGCTGAGCTACCTCCTACCTACGGGAACGGAGCCGGGGGTCGCACCTAGGGTAGCGCTGCGGAGCTGCCCGCGGGCCGCGTAGGTGCTCAGTGGCTCCCCCTGCCGGCCGCCGCCGGCCCACGAGAGTATTGCACAAGCTTTAAAAAAACGGACCCGGGATCCCTGCGTGGCGCAGCGGTTCGGCGCCTGCCTTTGGCCCGGGGCGCGATCCTGGAGACCCGGGATCGAATCCCACGTCGGGCTCCCGGTGCATGGAGCCTGCTTCTCCCTCTGCCTGTGTCTCTGCCTCCCTCCCTCTCTCTCTCTCTCTGTGACTATCATAAATAAATAGATAAATAAAAAAATAAAAAAACGCCCCCCCCCCCGACGACCGGACGCAGATAACTAGTTGAGCGTGTCTGCGTGCCAGAGGCCGCGCTCGAGGCCAGACGTGCAGCTGTGGCTGCGGCGGACGAGTCGTGCCCCTGAGAGGTCGCGAGGAGCGGGGGCGGGCCGGGCCGGGCCGGGCCGGGCGGGCTCCCGTCGCGGGCCTCCGCTGCCCTCTGCAGGACGGCCTGGGGATGAGGCCCCGCTGGCCAGCTGCGCTCGCGCACCTCCACCCACGGAGCTCGCTGGTCCCTCCCCAGAGGCCCCCTCCCGAGGTGCCCGCCCCGCAGCCCTCTGGGGTTCCACCAGGGGTCTCCTCCCACCGTCCCACAGGCATCCCAGGCCACTCTGGGGGAGGCAGTGGGATAGGTGGGGAAACTGAGGCCCACAGAGGGCTGTCTGAACACAGCCTCCCCTCTCTGGGCCTCCAAGGGCCCCCCGGCTCTCTGCCATTGCAATGGCCTGCGCTTTCTGTGTGCGGCAATCAAGGAGGGCTTCCTGTAAGCGGGGGTGGGCGTGTGTGTGTGTGGACTGGCCGTTGACAACAAAATTAAAATTAATAATGTAATGTTAACTGCTCAGTATAACGATACGGTTTACTCAGCATTTACTTCTAAGCCCTTTTTTGTAAATAAAGATTTTATTCATGAGAGTCAGGAGAGAGGCGGAGGGAGAAGCAGGCTCCATGCAGGGAGCCCGACGTGGGACTCGATCCTGGGTCTCCAGGGTCACACCCTGAGCCCAAGGCAGACGCACAATGGCGGAGCCACCCAGGCGTCCCCCCTAAGCCCTTTTCTGGCATCAACTCACTTATTCTACTCTCTGACCTTGCGCAGAGGGAACAGGCATTCATCCCAAATCCACCTGAATCCATGGGTCCCAGAGGTCCCTGGCCAGGGACCACCCCACTGCCCTGAGCCAGAGACCAGGGCATCAGCGTCCCCCCCGCCTCTCCCCGCATAGCCGTGGGTTCCTGTGTCCTGCCCCCTGTCCTCCAGAGTCTCTCTCTAGTCCATCCCCTCTCCCATCACTGCCCCCCCCCCACTTCAGGGCCTCATTCTTCCATCTTACCCCCAGAGCTCCACCTCCCAGCCACAAATCTGACCAAGGCATTCCCCTGCTCTCAATCCTTCCATGTCTCCCTACTGCCCCAGCCCTGTCCCAGAGCCCCCAAGTTCCTATAGGACCCAGCCCCTGCTGCCTTCCCCAGTTTCATTCCTCATCACCCCCTGACTCCCTAAACTCAAGCACCAATTTCATTCCAGACCTCCCGTGAGCCAGGCGGACCTCTCAGCCTCTGCATGTGCTGTTCCCTTTTGCAGGAAGTCTCTTCCCTGCTCCCAGTCACCTTGTTCATTCCACTCACCCTCTAGTTCTCCCCTCCTTTCCCCCTCCCTGTCCCTCCTCTCCCCTCCAGAAGCCTCTCTAACTGCCCCCACTGGGGATACTGCCCCCTTCAGGCTCTGCAGCTATCTGAGCATCCCCCCCCTCCCCGGGGAATCATAGCCCTCAGCATCCTGGTGCCACCTGGCCACATGCCATCTTCCCCACTCTACTATGAGCTCAGAGAGGGTAGGAGTTGGGTCCACCGCAGTCACTCTGTGTCCCCAGCACCCAGCACCAGGCCCAGCACACAGTAGGTGCCCAACGAACATTTGCTGAGTGAGTGGATCTTCTTGTGGCTGGGAGACTGAGGCACAGAGGGGCCGAGACCTGCTCTAGAGGGTCCTGCCTTCACTGAGGCTGTGGCAGGGGGATGAGACCTTCCCAGGTGTCACCCTGGAGAGTGTGGGGGACACTCAGGAAGATGTCTCTCCTACCCTGAACCAGGCCTGAGTCAAACTCTGAATCCCCTGCCTTGACCTATTTAGAGAAGCAGAAAGGAGGCAGGTGGCACAGGGGCCTCTTACAGATGGGGACACTGAGGCACTCAGATGGGGGGAGGCAGGGCCTGGAGAAGGCGGAGCTGGCCTTCTCGCCAGTCCAGTCGCTGTGTGCGCTGCTGCTGCTGCGTGCACTCGCTCTCCCCCTCTGTCTGTTGGTCTCCATCTCCCTCTCTTCTTCTGCCTCTCTCTCTCTCTCTCTCTCTCTCTCTCTTTCTCTCTGAGTCCCTCTTCCCTGGCCCCCTGCTCCCTCCCTGTGTCTCTCCCTCACCCTTTCCCTGTCCCTCTTAGCCAGGCCGGATGGGGTGGCAGCAGCAGGGCAGGTGCGGCCCCGGGCTCAGTGCCCGTTTCAGCTGGGGCCACCCCGGATTTGCGGCTGCGCCTCCTTTATCTGGGGCTGCAGCTGCCCCTTATCTTCTGGCTTCAGGACACGAGACAGGGATTAGGGCAGCCCAGGCCAAGGACTCGAGACAGCAGGGTTGGGCGGCCGGGTGGCAAGAGCCAGGGTGCTGGGGGCGGGTGTGTGTGTGTGCCGCAGGGCACCCTCAAGCCTTGGCAGCTGGGGCTGCTGCACATGTGAGCGGATGTGTTCGTGTGACACTTTGTGCCATTTATGGCTTTTGCCTGTGTGATGGTGTACACACATCTGCAGCTGCGCCTGGAGAGTGTGTGTGACTGGGGGTGTCGGTATATACGGTTGCTTCTGAGTGTGGGGGAGTGTGTGTGTCTGTGAGTGTCTGTGTTTCTCGTTTGTGTGACGGTGTGTACACATTTGTGGCTTTTTGTGCACGTGTGTGAGCCTGTGCCTCTGTGAGCCTCGGCCCTGCCCCACAGGTGCCCGTGAAACCCCAGGCCCAGGCCCCACCCGGCCGCCTGCCCTGGCTCCCTTGGGCTGGCCTGATGGCTTTCCCGCCTTGCTGACCTGCGGCCCTTGGGGACAACGCCCCTGGCCTGTGGCCTGTGGCTGCAAATGGCCCTACAGGGACAGCCGCCAGCCCTGCTTTTCCCATCCTCCCTTGCCTGGAACCGGCCAGCATCTTCCTGCCGCCCACGGGCCTCAGAGGCCCCTTCTGGCCAAGGCCACCGGCTCCTCCTGGCCCCCAGGGCCCTCGCTCTGCCCCTGGGCTGTGTCCCCTGTCGGGGCTGAGGCCCCTCTCCATTCAGCATGGTCCAGCTTGGGGGCAAGGATGACTACTGTCACATTAAGAACCCTGAAGTCTAGTTTCGGGGAGCCTCTTGGCTAGCCATGGGCAGCTCTGTGCTGTCCCAGGGACCCCCCCGGCAAGCCCTCTCACTTCAGTGACAGCGACACTGCCACTCCCTGAGGGTCTGCACTGGGCACAGAAAGAATGTGGGAGCAATTTTGCAGATGAGTAAACTGAGGCCCGGCAATCTCCGCTACCAGCTCACGAAAGGGGGGGCATGCTGAGGGTCTGGAGCTGCTCCAGCTGGGGGTGGCGGGAGAGAGAAGCCACGGACGGCTCCGGGCCACCTCCACCCCTGCTGCGCTGGTTCCCGGGGGTCGTGAGGTACAGCCCTGGGCCAGCAGGGCCTGGACCAGCTCCTGGTGCTAAGATGGAAACTTCTCCACCAGCCAAGTCCATGCCTTGGCCAGCAGCCGCTGGCCTCCCAGAACCTCGGCCTGGGCCTCCACCAGTGAACGGAGCATTCCCCTTGGGAGCAGTGACCGCGCAGGAAGGGCAGGGGGCCAGCCTCGGGGGTCAGGGGTGGGGGGAGCGGCCAAGGCAGTGGCTGAATGTTCCAGAATCATCCAGCCCCGGGTTTGAGCCTCTTCCCTACTGTGTGACCTCGGGCCAGCGTCTGGGCTTCTCTGATTTCCAGGTTTCACAACTGCCAAGTGAGCACAGCGCCACTCGGGGGCGGGGGCATCGCCCGGAGCTACCTTGGCGGGAGGTGGGGGTGGGGGGCATCCGAGGAGGCAACGAGGGAGCGGAACTAATTGCCAGGCAAACACCGCGGAGGGCGGGCAGGTGACAGGGCCTGGGTTCTGGGTGCACCTGTACTGTCCCGCCCCTGCCTTGGCCTTGACCCCAGCCGCAGGGGCCACGCGCCCCCACATGCCCCCCGCTCCTTGCGCAGCCTGTCTCTGCGCCTACTTGCGCTCGGGGGGGACCCAGCCCCACGCAACCCCCGGGCTGCTCTGGAAGCCAGGGTGGCTCAAGGCTCGGTTCCACCCACCCCCGCCCCACAGCAGCCACAGTCTGGGAGAAGGAAGGTTTAAAAATAAAGCATTGTAAATACCCGTGTTTCCTGCAAATAGAACCAGCCCCTGGATCCCCTTGGCCTCCCGGGCAGCCGGGCCCAGACAGCTCCTCTGAGGGGGGTGGGGGCCACAGGGAGGGCGTGTCTGTGCGCCCCAGTTCCCAGCTGCCATGTGAGTCAGCCAGTGCGACAGGGTGTCTGTCACCGCCTGTCCAGGGGGTGACAGGGTGTGTGGGCTGGTAACAGACAGTGTCCCGAGGTGCTGGGTCGCGGGAGGCGACACACCGGTGTGTGAGGCTGTCAGGACAGAATGAACGTGAGCCGCCGGGGGCCCCGTGGGGCTGGCCCCGAGCAGAACAGGGTTCCCGGGGGCCCGAGTGTGCTGGGGTCTCCACCCGCGGGGGGGAAGGTGGGCGTGTCCTCCCGGCTGGCCCCCCACAGCCTCACCCTGGCGCCCCTGCCCCTGCCCCTGCCCACCCCAGAGGAAGAACCGAGTTTTTCAAGTCACTGTTGCCAGGGCAACCATTTTACGAGCGTCCACATGGTGGGCACATGTGTGTGTCCCGCGCCCCATGTGTCTGCAGGCGCCCACCCCCAGGGCCTCCAGCCAGGGCGGGGCGGGGGATACCAGCGGTGTGGGGTGAGCAGGAGGTGGCCAGGGGGCAGCTGGTGACAGCTTAATGGTGGCTGGTTGGGTGGGGGTAGGCTCCTGGCTGGGCTGCATGTGTGCGAGGGGGCTGTGCCTCCCAGACTGGCCTAGCACGCGCGTGTGCATGTGTGGACACGCACGACAGTGTCTCGGACTCTCCTGCGCCGTGTGGCTGTGGGATAGGTAGTGCGTACTCCTGCACTGTGGCCATGGGTACCAGTAGCGAGCGTGGAGTGGGTCACACCGTGTGCCGATGTGCGTGTTAACGTGTGATGTGTGTATTGGCACCAGGTAGCATGGGAGTGTGTAACGATCCACCGAGTGTGCATGAATGTGCATGAGGAACCAAGAAGATCCTTTGAGGGCCAATGGGCTGAGGGTCCTTTGGGTGTGAATATTGGGTGTGTCTGTGTGTCTACTGGGCACTGTGTGTGTATGTGTGTATGTGTACGTGTGTGTGTTAGGGTAGTGTGAGCTTCGTGTCCATGTGCATAAGGGTGTCTGGCTGGAAGTGAAGCAAGGACACCTGTGTGTGTGTCCTCGGGCAAGGACAGGGGTGGTGCTGTTCTCATAAAGCGTGTCCCAGGATGTGTGAGAACAAGGAGGGCCCAGGGTGTGACCCCAGCCAGATCGAACATTTGGGGGTCTGTGTGTGAGTGGCCACGGGGGAGGTCAGACCTTTCTCGTCACGCCAGGACGTGCGTGTCACTGGGAGTGAGCACGGGGTGACACCGATAATGGCAGACATTATTGCTCAACGCCAGCCAGGGACAGTTACTCATATTTACTCGCTCAATCTTTACTACAACCCTATTAGGGTCTACTAATAATACCCTGTGTTACAGGCGGAGAAGCTGAGCCACATTCAAGATGTACCCGCCCAGGGCCGCACAGAGCAGACACCTGCCCTTCCCATCCTGGACCAGGACCGGCGGCTCCAACGCCACCACTTCCGTGACACCTGCTCATTCTTGTGCCCCCACCCTACCTGCAAGCTCACATCCTGGCCTACTCCTGGGTGGCTGTGCGCAGCCCCAGGCGTCGCCCACCCGCATGCGCCCCAGAGCAGGGGGTGAGACTGTGTCCTATCACCGCGTAGGCGGCATAGTAGTGCAAGCTGTACAGGCCCCTTGGGGTGTGCGTGTGTGTGTGTGTGTGTGTGTGTGTGTGTGTGTGTTGGCGGGGAGGGGAGGGGAGGGGAGGGGAGGGGAGGGGAGGGGAGGGGAGGGGGAGCTCCTAGGAAGGTCTCCTACCCAGACCAATCCCAGGGCTGCTGGGATCAGAGGAATGCAGGCGGCCTGGGCCGGGGCGAGGAGGCCCCAAGAAATCAGGCGGCAGGAGAGAGGAACCAGAGCACCGGGCCCCGGGAACACAGGCGGCGGCGGCCGGGAGCGCGCGGGAAAAGGCCGCGGCGGGGGCCCGGGGGCGGGGCGGCGGGGAGGGTGTTTTCGGTAACTAGGCCACGGCGGGGCGGGGCCGCGGCGGCTCCAGCCCCGCCCACCCCGCCCGCCCCGAGCCGGCTGGCGCCGCCAGGGGGCGCTGCAGGAACGCGGAGCCGTCGGGGCGGGGGCGCGGCGGGTCTGGGCGCGCAGGTGGGGGCGCCCCGCGGGGTCCTGGTGCGCAGAGAGCGCGGGGGCAGCCGGCGGCGGGGACGCGCGCCCCTGCGGGGCTCTGGGTGCAGCCTGGGCAGAACGGCCGCTTCGTGAGGGGCTCTGCGGGCAGCGGCTGCCCTAGGCGTGGGGCACCACCTACTGTCTTAGGAAAAAACCGTGGGTCTCAGCCCTCTAGAACGGCTCTGTCGTGGGGGCTTCTCTGGATTTCTGGAAGGAGGACCTGGGGCGGGACTAGGAGGACCCCACAGCCCTCAGCGGGGCGGGAGGGGGCTCTGGCCGCTGTGACCGCCGTCTGGGGTCGTGCTGTGACTTAGTTCCTCCGAGGAGAACCCGGGGAGGGGCTTCTCGCGGCCCCGGGTTTAGGGAAGATGCGCCGTCCTGGGTCTGTGGATGGGGGGCAGCGGCTGATTACGGGGGCGCTGCTCTGGAGGTTCCCCGGAGGGGCTTCCTCGGTGAGCGTCCTTCTCGGGGCCCTGCCTTCCGGAAGGGGACCAGGCGGGAGCCCGGTGTCTGACAGTAAAACCAGACCCTCGGCCGAGTGTGGGGCGCCCAAGGCCGCCGGCACTGGCGTCGGGGGCGCTGTGCCTCCTACCCCAGAAGGGAGCCCTTGGGGAGGGGGCGCCGCGGGGCCCGGGGCCCAGGGAGATCCCCTGCCCCGGGGCGCCGTGGCCCCCGCACCCCCCGCCACCTGCGCGCCGCGCGCCCCCCCCCTTGGGCGGGGGCGGCTCCCGTCCCGGGAAACCCGAGCCACCGCCCCTGGCCCCGCCCCCGGCCCCGCCCCCGGGCCCGAGCCGGCCCAGCCGTCCGCGGCGGGAGCGGCGGAGGCGGCGGGAGAGCGCGCCGCGGAGCCGCTCCGAGAGCCCGGGCCCCCCGCGCCGCACCCCCGAGCCCAGCGCCGCGCCCCAGGCCGCCCGCGCCGTCCGTGCGCCCCCGCGCCCCGCGCCCCGCGCCCCGCGCCCCGCGCCCCGCGCCGCCGGCCGTCCAGGGCACCCCCAGCCCCCGCCCCAGCCCGGCCGGGATGGCCGCAGCCCGCGGCTGATCGAGCCCGGGGGGGCCCCATGGGCCGGCCCGCGCCGCGTCCCCCCCGCGGCCGCCCCCTCCGGCCCGGGCCCCCCCGGGCGCCGCGGGCCCAGGCGGCCCGGATGGCGGTCGCGGCGGCAGGGGCAGGGGCTGGGGCCGGCGCGGGCGGCAGGCGCGGCCACCACTGACGGGCAGTCGGGCACCCCAGCAGGTAAGCAAGGGCCGGCGGGGGACCCGCGGGGGGCCGGCGCTGGGGGAGCCCGGCCCGGTGGACGGGGGGGGGGGCTTCCAGGGCTCGGGATAGACCGGTAGCTTCCCTCCTCTGGCGAGCCCCGGCGGGTGGATGAGCGCGGGGTCTGGGGGCCACGGGTCCGCGCACGGCGGGGGGGGCGCGAGGTGGGCAGGGCGGCCCGGGGCCCGGTGCGACGGGGCGGGCGCGCCTCTGCGCCCTTGGACCTCCAAGTGTGCACCTGAAGCGGGGTGGACGCGGGGTGGACGCGGGGTGGACGCGGGGTGGACGCGGGGGCAGCCGGAACCCCCTCTGCAGCCTCTGGGAGGGCGAGCCCCAGACGCCCGCGCTGCCTTGCGGTGCGCCGGGGGCCGTGGGGGCGTCGGGCCCGCAGACCCCAGCCGGGGAGCTGCCGTCGGCCCAGCTGCGCGCAGAAGTAAACATCTGTCAGTGGCGCGTTCCAGCCGCCGCCGCCTCCGGGGACACGGTGTCCTCCGGTAAGGGCCCGGCTCTCGGCTCCGGGAGCCGCCTGTGCAGCCACAAGAGGGCGCGAAACCCTTTTTTGGGGGCAGGGTAGTCCCTTAAGGGCAAAGACGGGGTTTGAAGGCGAGGGGGCTGTGCCTTCCCGGCTTTTTTAAAAAGGGCATCTCTTCCTCGGGGTGGCCGCAGAATTCCCCCAGAAGGTGCATGTGGGGGTCAGGAGTCGCTAGGCAGGGGCGGATGCAGACAGTTGGGCAGATTTGGGGGGTGCGACTGGAGGAAGAAACGGCCACTCGCAGGGGCGGGTGGAACGGCCTCCGCTTCCCCAAAGAAGCAACAGCATATACTGTGGTGTCACTGGCTGGGCTCTGGGCCTGTGGTTCCCTGCGAGGCTGGGACCCCAGCCCAGATCCGAAGAGCAGGGCCAGGGTCCTGGGAGGGGGGAGCTGGAGGCCGACCCCTGACTTTAACTCACTCCTGCCTGCCTGCCCTGTCCTGTCTCTGCTCAACCCTTCTCTCTGTGTTCCATGACACTCTTTGTCTTCAAGTGCCCCAGGCTGAGGAAGCCCCGATGGGGCGTGACTGGTCTAGGCGGATGTCGGCAGAGGGAAGACTCCCAGCGTTGCCCGTTTCCCCTCACCCCCAGCCCCTTGCCTCGGGGCCCTTTGGACACCAATCCCCATTCCCTTCATCTTCTGAGGTTCAGGGTTCCGAAGCCCACCCAACCCCCCTACCCACCCCCCCAGGCCTTCTAGCCTAGTCCTAGTGACAAGCTGCAAAGAGATTGTTCTAGAGGTACAGGGACGCAAACACAACATCCCCCTCTGTGGCAGGGCACCGTGGCCGAAATTCCACCATCACTGCTTTCGGGAAACAAGCAGAGGACATAGCTTTCAAGAGTCTGGGGCAGGCGAAGGAACGAGTTTGCAGCCAGGCACAGGGACACAATCAAGAGACTGTTCCCCCACATGTATGTTGGATGGTGATGGTGTGGCTGACTGTTGGCGGCGGGGCTTGGAGGCCCTGTCCTTTAAAGAAGACACACTTAGACCCCAGGCTGGAGCCCAGAGTGGGGAGCGAAGGGCCTACCTCAGGGTAGGAGGATCGAGGGAGACTTCCTGGAGGAGAGGGCATTGGGGCTGGGGCTGTGAAGGATGAGTAGGAGTTTTCGAAGTGGGGAAAAGAAAGGACCTTCCAGGCAGCAGGAATTGCACAGACAAAGATCCAGAGGCAGAAAATAACACGACTCGTTTTAGAAAATCCAGAGTAGGGATCCCTGGGGGGTGCAGCAGTTTAGCGCCTGCCTTTGGCCCAGGGCACGATCCTGGAGACCCAGGATCGAGTCCCACGTCGGGCTCCCGGTGCATGGAGCCTGCTGCTCCCTCTGCCTGTGTCTCTGCCTCTCTCTCTCTGTGTGTGTGACTATCATAAATTAAAAAAAAAAAGAAAAAAAAAAGAAAATCCAGAGTGTCCAGGTGACTGTGGGGGGGAGAGACCACTCTGACAGGTGGGCAGAGGGAGAACTGGGCTGGGGCATTCGGATCCTGGAGGTTAGGGCTGGAAACAGGGCAGGGAAGAACGGGTCTTTCAGGCATCTGGCATCCCTGGGCCCAGCCTTCTTTGCTGTGACCATAGATTCTTCTACAGACGCATCTTTCCTGGTCCCCAAGGTACGGCCGAGGGGTCTGGGCCCCCAGGGGGAGGCCCACATGGGGAGATGGGGGGGCAGCTGGGGTCTGCCCTCTGCCTAGCGAGCACCAAGGAGGCATCAGCCGGGCCCGGCGGGAGGCTGGCTCTCCCCAGTGTGCAGCTGAGAAAACTGAGACTGGGCGAGCCGAAGGGATCTTTCCTTCATGCCCATGTGTTTCCTGAGCAATGAGCTGCTGCATGCCACGCTCTGTGGTAGGATGACGCACAGGATAGGACAGGCCTGGGGCCTGGTACTCCTGGGGGTGGGTGAGGGAGCGGATGGGAGGCTCCCAGACCAGCCAGCCGGGGCTTCAAAAACTCCTACTCATCCTTCATAGCCCCAGCCCCAATGTCCCTCCTCCAGGAAGTCTCCTCTGACCCCTCCTACCCTGAGCTGGTAGGCCCTTGGTTCCCCACTCTGGGCTCCACCCTGCGGTCTAAGTCTATCTTCCTTGAAGAACAAGGCCCATGAACTGTGACATCAATGGCCACACCGCTACTGTCCCACGGTTTTGGGGGGTTATTTCCGGGAGAGGTTACTTTCAGGGGAGGTAACAGCTACGAAGGAAGCCCGGCGGGTGATAGGAAGCACAGGTATTCAGGAGCGGAAAGATCTTCCCTTCAAGTCCAAGTGAAATCAGGCTTCGGGCTGGTTCTGGAAGAAATGAGACAAGGGGGTCCTGCCTGCAGCCAGTGGGTCTCGCTTCCCAGTTGGGGAAACCGAGACCCAAAGGGAGGGCACCTTTTGTGCCTGGAAAGCTCAGTGCGTCAGGGACCCAAGGCGGACTTTGAACTTGGGGGGACAGGGGTAGAAGAGATGACTCGGGTGCCCTCCTTCCCAGGAAGCCAATGTCAGGGTCCGAGTGGCATCTGAGGTCCGTGCCTCTCTGTTCCCCCTGTTGTCCCATGGCCCGCTTTGTGCGGTGCCCTCCTGGCCACCCCCCCGGGGGATCCATGTCCCTTGTGCCACCCGCCAGGCCCCACAGCAGCTGCTCAGCCGTGCCAGGCCCGATTAGTCTGATCCTGTTATCCCTCCCACCCCAGGGAGCCCCCTCCTGCCCCCCCGGCCCGGCCTGCTGCGGTCAGGGTGGGAATTTTACAGGCCAGCCACACACGCTCCCCAGCCTGGCCTCCCTAAGAACACGCTCGCGTGGCAGCAGGTTCACGAAGTGGGCCCCGGGCACGTGGGGGCATCGGGGTGGGGGTGGGGGTGGGAATGGAGAGCTGACCCTGCAGGTCGCGTGGCCCCGTCGTCCCCCCACCTCATCTCCGCATGCTGCCCCTGCCCCCCCCTTTGCTCCTGCAGCTCCCTCCACCTACAACACTCTCTCCAGATCTTCACTTGGTCTCAGCTCAAATGCTGCCTCCTACAAGAAGCCCCCTTGGCCTCTCAACCTAAAAAGGCTCCCCACCCACCCCACCCCCTCCGGTCACTACGACTTCACCTTGTTTTATTTTGTCATGCTGCCGACATCCAGATTACCTTATTTATTTATTTATTTATGTCTTCTCTCTTACCCGCCCCCCCCAAACTCCAAACCCTGATTGGACGGGCAGCTTGGCAAGTGTGGGGCGCAGGTCGGCCTGGGTCCCCTTGAGCTCCCTGGCTGGCCCAGCACACAGTAGGCACCCAGGAAGGCTTGGTCTGATGTGTCGGGGGCGGAGCTGGGCCTGGCACACTGGGCTTGCTGCCACGTGGGCACTTTATTTACTTGCTGGTTCTGCTCTGCTGCGTGTCTATGGGAAAACCTGTCCTCTCAGTGGACGTCAGCCCCTTCACTCCCCCAACAGCAGGACCTGCCATGTCCTCCGGCTGCTGCCGTCCCCCTCAGCATTACCCCGCGCCACTCAGGTCCCAGGGCCTGCGGAGGCATTTGAGAGAACAAGTTTGGAGTCAGACTCAAGTTCAACCTCAGCTCGGCCGCTATCTTCCTTTCCTTCTTTCTTCTTTCCAAGCTTTTTCCACATGGTCCCTGCAGGGCTCCATCCCATGACCCTGAGACCGTGACCTCACCCGAAATCAAGAGTCAGACGCTTAACCCACTGAGCCACCCAGGTGCCCCTTATTTTTGGTATCACCTTGAGCAAGTGACTACTCTGCGCCTCAGTTTCCCGGCGTGGGGAATAATGACATCTTTTCCAGGGACTGTGGGGACCATTAAACATGTGGAAAGCACTTAGCACAGTGCTCGCCACTGAATAAGCGTAATAGCCAACGTGGTGGGGGCGTTAATGTTATTACTGTTGCCGTTAGGCCGTGTGGTACAGAGATGAAGAACGTGGAGGGGGTCTTGGGGCCAGGACTTTGAGGGATGAGTAGGAGTTCACCTGACTATCTGTATTCAAATCCCAGCTTGGCCACTTACACTCATTTGATCTGGAGCAAATCACTTCGCTTCTTTGGACCCCAGTTTCCCGACCTACAAAATGGAGAGAAAACAGTCCATACGTTGCTATGAGTCATTATGTAGAAAGTGCTTGAACAGTACCCATAGGGCTGTGTGCTAGTGCTAGTGTTAGCTATTATTTTTTTTTAAGATTTTATTTATTCATTCCTGAGAGACAGAGAGACAGAGAGAGGCAGAGACACAGGCAGAGGGAGAAGCAGGCTCCATGCCGGGAGCCCAATGTGGGACTTGATCCCGGGTCTTTAGGATCATGCCCGGGGCCGAAGGCAGACACTAAACTGCTGAGCCACCCGAGCTGCCCTATTATTATTTTTTTTAAAAGATATTTTACTTATTTATTCATGAGAGACACCCAGAGAGAGGCAGAGACACAGGCAGAGGGAGAAGCAGGCTCCCTGTGGGGAG